AAAAACATCAGAAATGAACCAACAACATATTTTAGAAACAAACCAACACAGTACAAATATTCTTTACACATAGTGAAATATTTCAAGCATTTATTTATTGTATTTTTAATGGTTGTAGCTCATTGATGATGAAAATCTACAAGTAAAGAATCCAGGAATGTTAGAATTGTGTCAAAAAGTTAAATACAGGAAACAAAAAGTGTCTCATTCAAATCAGCTGAATAAATTGAAACATCTGCAAACATTTTCAGAGCTTCCGAATGGTATATTAGTCTTAATCAATAGGCTGTAAAATCAGGATGAAGACTGCTATCTGGATGGATGTCAAAAGGACAGTCATCAAGACCCTTCATAAGGAGGGTAAGGCACTAAAGGCATCACGAAAGAAGCTGGTTACTAATAGAGTGCTGCATTCAGACATTTATAGACAATTACACGGAATTACAGTTAATGCAGTCATCTTGTGTCTTCTGCTTTATGGAGTTCTTGATTTCATTTTGAGCAGAACTTGGAACCTGCCCACACTACCAAATGTACCAATTTTACCAATTAATGATTCAATTTAAAGCTACAAACAAAAACCTGTCATTTTTATTTTAAATATTCTCTTTTCTGTATATAGTAGAAATAAAGACTTGAATCACTTTATTCTGTCTGCTAAATATATACAATCTACAAATTTCAATTTTCTGAAATAAATGACACAAGCTATAAGCTTTCGATATTCCAAATTTTGGAGATGTATCTATAGGATAGATGTCTATTTTTTGTGTAATAATTAAGTAAGAAAGTGGCCTTTGCCTTGCTTTACTAACTTTGTTGCTTTGTTGTAAAAAGGCTTTTAGTAAACTTTTAGGCATGCAGTAATAGTAGGAAGAACCATACTTGTTGGAAGAAAGATGAAAGATGCGTCTCTAGCATTTTATTATCTGGTTTAAAGGGCTGGAAATCATTTCAAAATGTTAAACAAAAGTATTTATTATGTAAGGTAGAACTAAGGATTTATTGATGAATGCTTTGAGGTATTAAGATTGACATCTGTAATTTTTGTATCTTTACACAAGTTCACCAAAGCCACAGTTATGAAGGATTTTTAATTTTACCTGCATTTAATTGAAAACTGTTTAAATGCTTTACTCAATCTTTAGCTGTCATGGTCAAAATAATCCTGTTTTCCCCACTATTTTTAAAATGTCTGCTGCTATGTTGCACTTAAATCACTTCTCCTTCTGATTTCCCCATTTTTTCTGTAGTTGTCTATTCCTCTATTTCCTCTTTTTATCTTTTAGCCACCAATGATTGAGTACCGTATATGAGAAACACGTACGTGTTGACGCACCATCAGCTTTGTGATGCAATTGCCTTTGAACAAAAGCAGTAATCAAGCTAATCATGATGTTATGTGATGCGTTCTAAACATCATTTATTCACCTTTATCGCAAGGCTTGTGTAAATGAGTCATAACAGAGTCGTTTTGCTTAAAGATTTCTTCTTTATTTTGCTTCTGCGCATGCATGAATGTTTCAGATATTTAAAGAGCAATTAAGATCAGATGATGATAACCTGAGTTAAAACAGAATACAATTATTATTTAATGATGATTAAGTACTTGCCCCTAGACCTGAGAACTCAATGCAACATCTTGGGGTTAATGATATGCAACCTCATCGAAATTGAATTTTGGCTCAGACTTTCACTGGGCTGCTTCATTACGGTGGGGATGTCCTTCAGATTAAACAAGACAGAGACCTTTCAAAGGTTTTTACCTTATCAAAAAATTTTTTTTTCCTCAAAAATTCCTAGATATTCAAAAATCTTTTTTATAAATTTGAGACAAAGCTTTACAATGGATATCATTTCTAAAGAGGCTTTTTCTTAATGTTAAAACACAATCTCCTCCTCTAATAGTGACAGATTAAGCTCCTTTGTGACATCCTGGTTAATTAAGATGTGCTTCTGGAGTAAAGGCCAAAACACATCAAATCTGATTTTGCATCCAGGAGGACAGAAATTGTGTCGGACGAAGTCTATGCGTTTAGCTTTCAATCACACATCACACGATTTTACACAATGGGGCTTGCATAGGTCCGACTGAGATAGACCAGGTCTATTTTAGTCAGTCTACGCAGCAATTCAGCAATTTCATTGATCTGACATAACGAGACGTGGTTGCAAAGTAAAACACATCTGCTTTGGGGGAAAATACAAAATGAAACCTGTTAATTGCACAGGGATAGAGTCGGTTCTATAGTTACTCACTGCATATATAGTAAGCTAAAACAAATGAATGAAACTTTATAAAAGAATACTTTACTCGTGATAGGAGTTCAAGAGGATAGAAAACAGATAAAGTAGGGATCCTCTATGAGCCTTGCAAAAAATACCAAGGGACAGAAAGTTTTTTCTCTTTGAAAAAAATGGAAAAAATAACTTTAAGAGGAGAAAAAACGGATATAGTAAAGTAGTGATCATCTTTCAGTCTCACAAAAGAAACTATATAAGGAGAGGCACACAGCAGGTAAGTGCGGCGTATCTCTCACCTCTCTATTAAAAAAAGAAAGAAAAACTTCCTTCTCACTGCCTCAGCCAGTATATAAACCGTCCCAAGGCGTTAATTGCTGCGTTTTTCTTTTCTTTAGATGTAGATCTCATGATTTTAATACAGACATCTGAACATTATCTATTCTAGTTTGAGACGCTGAACAGACTCATTAACTGGGGATTTGCTTTGTAAAATGCACTATGGATTTATTTTGTGTAACTTTTCAAAATCTGTCAAATGTGGGAAATTGCCTTAATTTATGTATAGCACAGAGACAGAGGAGGAAAAAATCTGCACAGATCTGCCCACCCTGCCTAGTCGGAGCCTCTCTATAGGCAGTGTGACATGGAAAAAAAATTTAATCAGAGATTAAAAAGTCCTATGCAAGCGGTGTGTTCAGGCCTTAAAGTTGATTCCCAGCCACTCAAAGGGAAACATTTCCTCAGTTTATAGATAATCTGCCTTCTTTGCTGGATCTCTAAAGCCTCAGAAATGACTTTGAAACCGTTTGAAATTAATGCTTTTAAATGTATGCTTGTTGACTTGAATGCTTAGATTTTTTTTACCTTTTCATAGATTTCTTTTTGTCAGTCAGTTACTATTTCAGTATTTGTGTTTTTTTATAATGTAATACATAACTATTTTACAAGGGAACTGTGTCATGTATTTACATAGTTTTTCTTGGTTAGAAGTTAGCTAACAATATAAGTAAAAGTGCATGGAATCTCTAGTTGGGAAATATTTTTTCCCAAGAACTCTACATTGTTCCTTTCATCCTAATACTCATAAATCAGCTAAATATAGAAGGATTTTTGGAGTGAAGAAAAAAACATTGCCATCAGACTGCCTTTTCCTCTGTGTCCTTTTTGTAAAATGTCACAGTGGTAACTTGTTAATGTTGTCTCTCACTTTGCGGTCACATGCATAAACACAGACACGCACCCGCTCACACATTAACGTAATCCAACTGGCATAAAGCCATACTGTTGCTGCTCCCATTGTAGTGTCACTGGCGTTTGACAGACAGTGTGCACTAGTGTGCAACCAGATGGGGGTCTGACCCATCGCCTCCAAGCTATGCCAACACTTGCAGCCTGGCAGCTTCTCTGTGTCCAATAAGGATTTCTTGGTTAGCCCTTTGGGAGGAAGCACACACATGCACATGTTATACTGTACTACATTCAAATTGATCTTTCTTCTTGTTTTTTTTTTTTCTTTAATGGTTTATTACTGTAATCCAGAGCAAATCCAAAAACTCTTATATTCACTGCAATATTTTTCTTCTAATTAATTAATTAACTTTTTGTCACATATTTGAAGTCTCTTCGACAATTTTTTCTTTAGCTTCAAGTAACACATTTAGATTGTCAATGGAAGGCACAGAGGGAGTTAATTTTAACCACCTTTTTGCCTGTCAGCCCCCCCACCAATTTCGAGTGTGCACCTTCTCTCCTAATGCAATCATTGATATCATGAGGGAGAGCAGAAAGCGCCACTAGACCCCAGAGGGGAGGAGAAATGGCCATTCAAGTTATGTTAATATGAGGGGTGATAGAGGCAGATAAGATCCTGCCGGGAGGGGGGGACGCTGGTCCCCCTGGTCCTGGTGATCAACACACTGCATTTATGAGGCAGAGGACTTGGCGGCAACTGAGGGTTTGCGTCAAACCAGGACCGGCCAGTGCCGCAGTGTTTACTGGAGCAGCTGTTAATTGGCGGTTGGGGTTTTGACAATGAGGGCGCTAATTAGGGTCGGTGGTGGGGGTGGGGGCGAGTTGCACACAAAATCTCATGTCTGATGCAAAGGCATCCGTCTCCATATGGTTGGGATAAATGGCGTGGAAAGCTGCAGAGAGTGCCGCTAATGAGGAACAACAGTCTGTAAATCAAATTAGCGGCAAGCCGGTTCAGTCCAACACTTGCCGACGATAAAAAGGAAAAACTTTACAGAAGGAATACATGTATGAAAAATCATAAGAGCTTGTATAATTAATTATCAGGAGCATAATTAATTCAGGCATGGCCACCCAATGCCCTACATACACAAAACAGAATTACAGTGCCTTGTTTTTATAGCGGTGACAATATTTTGGATTATGTCTTGACTTTTATTCAGGGTTGCGTTAAAGTCTGAAACTTTTAAGATTTTGCAGGAAACATAAACAGAAAATGGAGCAATGTGTCTTTATTTAAGACTTTTAACCCCTTTCCTTTTTGTAAACATTCTTCTTTCTTTCCTTTCTTGCTTCCTTGAAAAAAACAAAAACAAAGAGTTTGCAAAATATGCAGGAAGCATCTTAATTCCTTTGCAGTGCTTTCTATGCTGGATAAACCTTTAGCATCGGAGCTAGCACGGCCAGTGATTTGGTTGATTGTCAAGTGCGGGTGAATTACAAGGTTTTTTTCTCTGCTTATCTATGGACTGTGAAAGTCACCTAACTGGATTAGCCCTCAGCTTTCCAGCTAGGACGAGAGGCGCGCAGCAGGACATTGCCGCTGCCTTGTTTAAAATGTGTAATATCGAGGCTGGGAGGATGAAGTACAAAGAAAGAAAAGACTGTTGGGATCTGTGCTTACCCGTTTATGCATGACATTCAGTTTCAAAGGCGGGGAGGAGCATTTGGGGTCAGAGTTTCTTTTCTTCCTCACAAATTCCTTGTTTTATTCATAATGTGCAATTATTCAGACCAGGAATCTTATGAAAACTGGAATTGTGTAAAAGAATTGAACAACACACTTTTATTTTATGTATTAATCCAAGTAATGCTGTTATTAAACAGATCAACTGGACTCTTTTTCTTGGTTCTGTTGAAATTTTTTTAACTTAAAGGTGAAATGTTTGTTAAAAAGGAGAAAACCCATTAATAATTCACTTAAGTATGACTAGCAATGATGCCAGCATACTGCTATGGGAAATATGTATTTAAGTATTATTAAATGTGTATTTGTATTTGATATCATTTAAGTTTTGCATCTTTCAAAATCTAGTCCACAAAAAAGATGAAACTCACATTTAATTTTTATCTCATTCTCCTCATCCCTTCAGTTTTATTATTCGATTCCAGTTGCGTTTAATGGCAATCCGTTTTTGGAATAAAACAAGCCTTAAATGATTCAGTTTATATAAAGTTTGAATTTTACTTGTCTATAAAAAAGCCTAAATTCATTGATCAGACGTTTTCCAGACAGTCTGTGTTGGGGATTGAATATCTTCTCTCGCCTTCCTTTCTCTCTGCTTTTCTTTCTGCCATCTGATACTCCATTCCAGACAGCTATGGCATGCAGTTTGGTCTTTGAAGTTATTCCTCCTGTGCATGCTGCTCAACACTTGACATGTCTGACACGGTTTCTAATCTTTATTCTGTTCCTGTCGCGGAGGAACTTGGACACAGTCGTTTATTTCTGCACGACAGTCAGCCAATGCTCCTGACCTCTTTAATCAGCGCGTGTCTGCTTTCTCTCACCGTCTGTCTCCTCTCCTACAGTGAACGCTTCTTCGTCAGGCTGAATAAGAGCGGATTGCCCAAGTGGCCGGAAAAGACCGAAAGGCAATGCACGCTGTTTGTGGTAAGTAATTAGGACATTCACGAGGCAACTCTGCACAAATCTTTCACGCTGTGTCATAAAATCAATACTATATGATTCAAACATCTTCTTTCAGGATTTGGGAAGCAGCGATCTACGAAAAGATGTCTACATTGTTGCACACATCATAAGAATTGGTAGGAGTAACTGAATTCTTTCTTTTCTTCAGCTCTTTACTTACTCATCTCAGTGCATGCTCAAGCATATTGATAAAAAGTTAAGTGAAAGGAATAACTGAGGTGAAAACTGCACAAGCAAAAGGGAATACCATGGCCTTGAAATGACTGTAAAAGAAAGCCCATTCAAGAATATGTTGGAAACTGACCATGCAAACGTAAAAATTCATGCCATATTGAACAGAGCAAGTGATTTATTTATTTATCTGTTTCTGTCCATGTCAGTGCATCTATGTGAATCTAGTGTGGAGTATATGCTGGATGTAGAATTATTTCTAACACGCATTTCTTCCCTTCACTAAACTTTCCATTAATATATTTTCATAAAGCACTCTTATCAACTTATAGCTTGCCCTTCTTGTGGAGCGTGTCAGTGACTGCTGGATATTAAATCTGCAGCTCTCACTGTAGTTGTATTAACCATATGATATGTTTTTATATCTCATTTGTTAAGTTATTCTTTTTTTTTAATTTTTTGAGAGGCAAAATTTGTCATTTTGCATTTTTAATGCATTTACAGTATATCTGTGTTTTCTGTCTGCCTTTATTAGATAATTATTTAGATTTGCTAGTAGATTTCAGTCTTTTTGTCTGTTCAGGGAGGATGGGAGCAGGAGAGAAGAAGAACACATGCAGTGTGCAGTACAGGCGGCCGTTCGGCTGCGCTGTCGTCAGCATTGCTGATCTCCTCACTGCTGATTCCAAGGATGACCATTTGCTCAAGGTTTATGCGTAAGTCAAAGGAATCGTTTGCATTTCTGAATACAGCGCTAAGATCAGTTGAGCATTTCTATTGCCGAAATAAACTAAGTGAAAATGAACTAAAACCTGGTATCTCATTTTAATTAAACTGGAAATCAAACTTAAAATCGGACATTTATGTATTTCAAAGGTTGGGATAAAGCATGATAGTGTTTGAAGCCATGTTGTGGTTTTGTTGTTACGGGTCACAATGAAGTTTTACCTAAATTGTAAATGGATTATTGAGTAAATTTAGCTGAAAAATATTGCCACTTAGTTTAAACATGATAATACTGAACAGGGTCTTGCAGTAATGACCTTAAGAGTTTTAATTATATGTTCTTTAATTGTATTTTGCTTTTATGACACATATTGTGATTACATTTATCGACTATAAATAACTACTTGTGTTATCTTTAAAGTTGAATTCATACAGCACAATTAAAACGATGAGTTTTTGAAACGAGTCGGTAGCAAAATGTTTAAATAATTGTGGATGTTCTCTGATTTATCTGAAATTGGACATTTGGGGTTAAATGCATTCTTATAATAACATTGAAAGGTATATTTTCTTCTTTTTAGTCATCATACGAATTTGTTGAAGCAGCTGCAGTTTCATTTATCCTTAGTTCAAACATCCAAATTGCCCCCCTTAGATAAAATGAAATGGATAAGGATGTTTAAGAACAATTTCCGATGCTCTGTAGACTGCTCCAGTGACCTGTTATGCAGACAGTCAGGCCCATTCCCTTCTAGATAACAGATTTGATATCAGATTAGGCGATGATTGACTGATTTCTATTATATAAAAAAAATAATGTTCAAAGAAGTTGTCATTTTAAAAGCAAGCTGATGTTTTTTAAGCCAGAAAAGGCTTTTAATAAACCCCAGGCCTAAATCTTAATCAAGGTTTGCGGAATATGAATCAAATTTAGATAATACATTTGATTTGAGCCTTTAAAATCCCAGAATAATGGGTCTTTTTAGTGTCTGTACATATAACTCTGACCAGCACTTTGTATTAAAAACAAACAAGAAATCATTAATCTCTTCTTTTACATTAAATATGCATTTATTCCTATGAATTGATTTTATTTTTGTTTCCATTCAAGATGCAACACAGAGATTGAGTGGTACCAGATTCATGAGAACATCATTAAAAAGGCCAATTCCAGGTACAACTTGTCTGGATCCAACACCGGTAAGACTTTGAAAAATTTTTCCTCTATCTTGGAAAAGTTAATTTATTACATTTACACTCTAAACAGTAAATTCCAGTGTTAAATATGCAGTGCCTAAGTGCATTGACTCTTTTAGAGTTATTACAACAACTACTGGAGTAAAATATAAATTACTTTGGTGTTCTAATTTAACACTAATCCCAACTGGGACCAAATGCACTCTTAAAGTGTTACTTTAACACTGCAAAATATACTGTGACAGGCCTTCTAGCGAAGTTATTTTGGTCATATCTTGCAGTCTGACATTGTTACCTGATACAGCTTTTATGTGATGTTAAAATCCCAGCTTAAAGGAGCACTAACCTGCTTGTGTGTGCAGAAAAATCTGCGTTTTCATTTGCGTTCAGATGCTTTATATAAATAGATAGCTGCATCTGCATCATACTGAAGATCAGCATCAGCAGTTTCCCATAGCAACAAGTTGGCAGAGACGGAGAGCATTCAGCCTTGGATGTCAAATGAAAACCCTCTTTCAGTGGTTAAAGGTATTATAAAAAGATTTTCTAGAGGTTAAAAGATCTGCTATGTAATTATTTAATATTTTTTATAATTCCAAAGATGCATCACTGCTCAATACGTCATTTCTCAAACAAGGGTACCAACTAGAGGAACTTTACCTCGTGAACAACGAAGAGTGACCTTGGAACTAGAGGAAGGCTGCACCGAAAATATAGAACTGAAAGTAGAAAGGGCAACGAAAGTGAAAAGTTGGGTATACTCCACCACGCATTGATGAATCAATTTCTAAGGAGGGCCCCCTTACATGGGAACTGTAATTTCTACTTAACCTGATGACAGAAAGTGGTTGTTAAATGCCAGCCATCTCTTTTAATTCTGTTTTTAGCTAGTAAGTTGCATTCTATAAAAATGTAAAATTTTCTTGTGACGATATACATTTGGTAAGTAAATATAAACTGAGCTATGATATGACTAATAGTAGCAGACTGTTGGAGAGATGTTTCCACTGGAAGTTAGGCGTTTTGTGCATCTTTGCTAAAATTAAAGATGCAGCATTCATCTGTTAGAGACAAGAGCATAAATCATTTTGCAAGTTCTTTTGGGGATTTTATTCAAAGCTCCTTTTTTCTTCTTCTCATTTGGGAGAGGATTTACAAATCACTGCATTATCAACGCCTAGTTAGGTTGGGTGAAAAATAAAAACTCTGAAATAAAAGATCTGGTCCTACTGATTTTCTTTCCAAAATCTCTTTATGTCTTCCAGACTCTTAGGTAGTTGTTCTTGCTTTCTCTTCTTTTTTTTTTAGCTCATCCATGAGGTATTTAAAGGAGCTTATTGAAAGAACTGAGTGTCATGATCAGTTTAAGGAATCTGACCCACATGCAAAGAAACCACTCAGAGAACACGGGGAAAAGTTTTATAGGTTTATTTAAAGTAATGTAAACAGAGGTTGGATCTGGAACTCAGTGAACTGGTGAATCGGAACTGGAAGGTCTGAAGGGGATATCATAGAGATAAGTTCAGGGACCATGGGAAATGAGACTGTGGCTTGAATTATGCTGGAGAGAGACTCAAGTTTGGGCTCCTGTCAATCCTTGAATCAAGTCTGTGTGGGATTATCCAGAGAAGAGGATACTCGTTAGAGAGCAGACAGGTTGACTTACGTTGGACCCAGAGGAGTAATGGAGGGGACTGTCACTTGGATTTCCGATGGGGACTTGAACGGATCATGTGGAGGTTTTCCCCTGCTCAGTGTGAACTCAGTAATTCCTTCCAGAGGGAGAAGGTCCAGGTATCCAGCTTTCACAGGAAGGCTTCCCAAAACTTGCAAACACTCTGGCATTAAGGTAGTGACAGTCCACAGCTCAAATACTCCTCCAGTAATGAACCAACGAGCAGCAGGTGTGCAGGGAAGCCCAAAGAGGACAGGGCACCACCTGGTGGTGGAGAGAGAAGAAACACACAAACAACCCACACAAACTGGATTTCTAACACTGAGAAGACATTGGTAGAAGGAATGAATTTGTGCCTGATTAACCATTTCTCTGTTGATTTGTCTATATTTCGATTATTATTCAGCCAAAAAAGACCAAATCAGTAACCATGCTGTTCTGAATTTATCAACCAGTACTTTATTCAAAACGTCCGGTTATAAAATAAATCACGAGACAATGCGTTTTACCAAGTTTCCTTTGGAAAAAATGTCAGGAACACCAGACTATTGTGATTCATCAGTAAGCATGAAGGGGTTTTCCATGCTTTATTTTCTCCTTTGTTTCATGTCATACCCACCTGGAGTGTTTGTGAGAGAATTTTAGTATATATTTTTATTCTGAATATATTACATCGAATAGCCAGTTTAAAGACTTGGTGACACCTAGATAGAACACGTTGCTCCTAAATAGATTTTTTTCTGACTAAAACTGATAAGATGACGGTAACACGTTTAGAATGCAAAAGAAGAAACCTGAAAGGGATGCAGAGAATTTAAGCTTTAGTTTAGTTTTATTTCTATATATATGAATGGTCTTCACCCACTCATGTTGTGTCAATAATTTATCAGAGAAGCCCCATTATTCCCTGGTAAAAAGGCTTGATAATTCAGGACTGTGGTCGCAATAAGCAGAACAATTTGAGAAAAGTGTTTAGCAGTAAATTAAGACTCCCCCAGAACAATATTTTCCTGAGTGCACTTATTGCAAGTCTAAGATGGGAAATTTCTCATAAACACACATTTAAGGAGCTGTGTTGATGCATAAGAGCAATTAAAAACATTGTGTAGAGTCTAAGCAGTGTTTTCTACACTAAATGTTATCCATGGAATGATTTTTAAATGACCTAAAAGATTTAAAAATGTGTCTATAGTGGGAAAAAAAGTTGTCTGCTTTCACTTTATGGTATTTAGAAAATGAATCCCATGTTGATTTAATTCATCACAACTTTCTACAGCCCATTTCTTATCTCTTACTGAACTTCAAACAAAATTTTAATGAGGTTTCTATTATATTTGGTTATAATTTGTTTTACTAAATATATGCTTATACAGCTTGACCCAGTGGATCGCACGCAGATAATTACTGCTTTATCCATGATCATGCTGCTCTGCTTTACTCTGTTTAATGCCTACAAAGTACACTGTTAAATTTTTTATACCTACTGTTCAAGTATCTTTACAGTACTTAAAGACATGATGTTTTTATTATATTTTTTTAAAGATTTGCCTATCATATATTTGGATTTAATTTCAAAGCACCCTATCAGATCGAGTTTAAACAGGTTGTTCCTCATCTTAAAAAAACGAAAAAATTATACAAGCTTTTATACAGATTTTTTTAGTGGATGTTATAGTGAAATAATAACAAGTAATTCCACATTTTGTTAGGTGTTTTGTCCAGTTTGATAACAGGGTCGTCAATCATTATTCTCTCCTCTTATTAAAGATGTGAACTGTTTACTTTATAAATTCAATTATATTTAAAATAGGATTTTTTTTATTTTATTGAGATTGATAGACAGATGAGCAGTTTTAAAGATACAACCTTTTTTTGTTCTCTATATCTCTATATCTTAATACTTGCCAAAAACCCAATCCCCCATGTGTCTGGAACAGGCGTGTCTGAACAGGCAGCACAGTTTGCATCAAATGGGGAGCAAGATAATGATCCAAAGTTTTTAAGAGCAAATCAAATGTCAGTTATTTTGAATGTTAGATTATACAACAGGAATATAAATCATATTTTTTTTTACATCTCTTTAAAGTGCACACAAAATCTAGAAGTCATTACATAATTGCAGCTGAGTTCTAGTTATACAACAATGTGAGATATGACCTGAAGGGGCAGCCCTCAAAAGGTAAACAAAGAGTGTTATGGATGTAGGCATAGTATCAGTATGCAAGCATTATAAAACTAAACTTTTAGCAGTGTATTTTTACTATTTAGGAAAATGTTTCTTTTGCAGTTTGCCCTTGAGATTTGAGCGTATCATTATGTGTTATAGGAAGTGGAATTTATTAGTTTTCATTTCAACAGAAAAGAAAACATACATGCAGCACAGTTAGATAATCCCATGCTCATTTTTGTGCATACATGCACATATTTGTCACCTTTTGTAACCATGGCTGGATGTGTAGTCATTTAGCACCGTACAGGCAATTCTGGTCTAAAATATGAAGCACATTAGCTGTAGAGTTTGACTCCTATAGATATTACTTCTGAATTTATATTATCAATATATTTCTTTTTCTTCTTTACCTGTGTGCTTTATGGCCATATTTCAGTTTCAAGTAACTAAACTCAATAGGCAGTGGAGCCGATAAGTGGCAATGATGATTTTGTTTACTTGGACTCTGTAATCCATAAATTTATATTTTATAAGAATTTGGCTCTGTATGAGTCAGGCTGATAATTCAGCTCCCACGTCCACATGCGTGTGTGTAGGCAGTGACAGAAGAGGCTGCGACAACTCAGATTTGTTTTTCTAAAGTTTCTTTTTTCTCTTTTTGAAAGCTTAGAAGAGGCAGTTCGGGTGGGCTGAAACAGCAAAGGTTGTTGGCTACAGCTACCAAGCTGAATTATCTTACAGTAGTTCTCTGCAATGGTTTTAGGAGTTTTTCAGTTTGGACTTAAAACTATAGTGGATGATTTTTTTTCTGAAAAAAAGGTAAATTTTTATATAACTGCCCAAGTGCAAGACGAGCCTACCTGCTCCTCTGTTCCTCAGGATGAGCACCTATCAAATGTTCAATATGAAGTCGGTCCATAGTTTGAGTTAGGCATGTGTTTATGGGAATTTATGACCATTTTTCTTGAAGCGCATTTTTTGAGGTCACATTGCCATTCAACCCCCAAACAGATGAAGTGGGTACAAGAACCTCAGATCAGACAAACTTGGCCTTCATTGCTGTAGATGTTGTTTTTGGTTCTTTTTTGACCTCCTGGATGAGTCTTCAATACACTCTTAGTGATTTTTGTTGGAAAACTTCTCCGGGGATTCTGTTTTTTCCATTGTTGGATAATGACTCTCCCTGTAGCTCAATGGAATCTCTGTATAACCCTTTCCACTATCACAGATCTCAGTGACTTGGTTAGATATCTGTGTTTCACAGGATTTTAGCTGGTTCTGAGAAAAACATTGTAAATGTGTTTTACAGCTCTTCTTTTTCCTTTGTGCTTCGGTTCTTCCATTTAGTTTTATTCATTTTCCGCTCCAGTGTTCATAAGGTGAAGACTTTTATAGTGACTTAAACTGTCAAGAGGAGGATGTTAGGACAGACAGCAATTTGGGGAAGCATTCTATCAAGCCCAGTCTAGCACTATTTTACATTATTATTAAATAAAATCATAAGGCAAATATGATTTAAAAAAAAAAGAATAATCCAAATGCAATTCATGTTCCCTAGCTATCTTCACTTTTATACATGTTTAATAGTCTGTCCTTTATTTGCAATGGTTTAAAGGTAAGCTTTGTAAGATACGCTAAGGTTAGCTTATTCTTGATCATGCACAGTTTGGTTCTAAAAAGAAACTTCAAGCTAATTTTACACATTTAGTGGCTAAAAGGAAAATTAAAATACTTTCTCTCAATAGCTAAAAATAATGAGTTGCTGATGCAGCTAATTGTGACTCATTAAGGTCGTGCAGAGATAGGTTTATTAAGGTTATCTACCGACACCCAAATATTGTTTTGACACACGGAAAAGTAAAAAATATGGTAGGGAAAAAAAAGCTGTTAATCAATAGAACACTTTGATACACATTTTATTGTTAAAGCATAGATTATATTTTATTCTTTACCTTACAGTTTGAGGTCACTCCTCTCCTTAAGACCCAAAATTTCAAGTATTTCATAAGGGGGAAAGTGTTAAGAACTCAGATTTCGGCCAGAAGAAACACGTTTTCACCAAGTTACTCTCATACTCTGACCCTTTTTTTTTTTGCTGGGGGTTAGAGTATTCCTTTTTGTTTTTATAAATAGAGAATGATATATTCATTAGCAAAATATTGGAAAACCTCCTGAAAAGCTCAGATTTTCAGGATGTTTGGCTACAAGTTACCTTTTTCTGATAGGAAAGGGTGTATTGGAAATGTTATACATATTTTTCTTTTCTTTTTCACCAATTAGTAGGAATTAAACATGCTAAGAAATTATTTTAAAAGTATTATTTCAATAGGAAATTAAAAACATAACATTAGAACATATTAATATTGACAAATGAATATAAATTAATATTGACAAACCCTCTTTCGGACATTTAATGATCTGTTTTTTGGCTTTACTTTTTTTAAATTCATGTTCCCTTCTAAAAATATGCCGTTAATTCGAAGAAAAGGAAACCCACTACAAATACATTGAGGGAAACCCAAGCTATAATAAATCTATTAGAGAAGCAATGCTATGCCATACTGTTTTTAACTATACCTTCGCTAATATTGGAAGCTACTGCATGAGTATATTGATTTTACACTGCTACAATCATGCAAGATTCTTCCTAAGGAAAAGTTACAGATGACTCATTGGCTGCTTATATTTCTCTGTTTTTATGCATGTGTGGGTGTTAGCTTGGCCTCTATACAGTAAATAGCAGTAGTATTTGGCACAAATTAAATGCAGTTTGTAATGAAAGTTAATGTGTCCTATTTTGTACTTTATCTCAGAATTCACCATTACTGAAGTCTATATAATGTTGACAGAAGACGGGCGATTTATTTTGAGCTCTTCATTGAGTGGTTTTGATTCAGAAAATGAAAGGAACAAGCCAAGATGATGCTGCTGCACTGTAAAAGAAAACACTGCTATGTTTAAATGTTGGGATTATTCTGTATTCCAGGTCTGTCAGTGGCTCTACAGCTTCTCCATGGAGACATAGACCAACTAAGGCGAGAGTACATGGGCCTCTTCACCCGTGGGGTGTGCATAACCAGGAAGCTGGGCTTCTCTGACATCATCATGCCAGGTAGGACTTTTCAGACCTTCCTTCATCAGAACATTCATAACTTATTTACACAGTTGTTATAGCACAGTGGTGTCTTTGAAATACAGGATATGTTCTACCAACTAATTATGAAATGTCTTAAAATCAATGAAAACACAGGGTTTAGTGATCCCTTTAGGTAGAAGAAAGATGATAATAATCACAGTGTAATCCATCAGTTTGAAATGTTTTTAAAATATATTTTGCAACGCTATGTTAAAATTACAAACTTCAGTGGTTTTTAGTTTCTTCTTTTAAGCTCTATCTATCTTCCTGAAAACTCTGATAATCATTTCTGTCCTTGGCATCATGCTACCCCCACCGTGCTTCATGTAGGGAGGATGTTTTTTTTTCTTATTTTTACATTTTTAAGCTATAGAATTATTATGCGTAAACATGTTTAATCATTGTAAAGCGCTATGTTTATTTCTCAGCTTAATACAATTTTGAAGACCAAAAGGGGGAGTGGTGGCACAATGGCAGCCCGCTGCTCTCCAAGTGGATGGGTTAAATGCAGAGAGTTCATTTCGTTGCTCTGTACTTGTGACAGTGTAATTACAATAAAAGCTGAAAAAAAAAAAAAAAAAATTAGCATTAGGCTTCATGTAACCAAAACACTTTCTTTATAAATTTCCCATGCCCTCTGCATGGTTTGGACTAAACTCACTATCAGCTTTCTTTCATCTACTTGCCACATTTTGATGTGGCAAGGATATGGTAGTGGTAAAAACATATTTTGCACTTTGCTTCCTCTTTGCAATTCTTTACCACTTTGTAGAGATACATATAATTCGATTTTTTTTGTGTGAAATGCATTAAATTGCCCCATTTCTTTAGAATTAAGAGTGCTTTCTCACCATTTTATACAATGCCCTCAAGATCCTGGTTTAACAGCAAATTACACAAGTAGGAAGATATAATTTCATAGAACATTTAACACAACATTCTTGTGTTGACACAGCTAATTTTGCAGCCAATTAATCCCCTAACCATTTCTGGATTAATGTGATTTTCTTTGCTTATTTCAGAGATATTTTTTGCAGTTTTACTTCTATAGATCCCTGAGCGTAGATTTGCAGTAAACGTCCTTTTGTGCTGTTCTGTAATCAGTATTAATAGTATTGTTTCTGTTTGAGTCTGCTCACCTTAGAAACTGTTACTTATACCGAGTTTCAGAGCTTTAAACCCTTGACACATTGGCCCAGTGTGCATTCTGTTCCACATCAAGAGATTATAATAAAGACAATGCACAGTACAAATAAATGTTTAATCACTAATTAATTAGGAGACTGTATCCTGCAGCCTTAAATGGGGCTATTAGTGTGATGGACAAATGTAGCACTGAATGGCACATGAAGCTAAATATTATGCCTTCACCTGACTGTTTAGCTTGTTGCGAGGAGAATATGTCGACAGCAGTGTCTACTCTAAACCTCCCCGACTGCGCCAATGAATCTGTCTTGTTTGGAGATTGTGTTTAATACTTAACTTAAATCCCTGATTGCTTTTTAGAAAATGTATTTCTTTTATTATAATGCTGGGTTTTTATGGCTGTGTCCAGTTTTAAATCTTTTGCAGCCTCTTTACCCTTTATTTAAAAAAAATGTTCTATACTAGGTGCCACCTGTTTTCTCTTCAACTCTTACCATCTTCCCTTCCCTTGTGAAGAAAACCATCAGTAGAAAAACATGTATCTTTCAAATGAAGGCCTGGGAGACATGCGCAGCAGTTTTCAAAGCACCAATGCTTTAATATCATCCAGCCATAAAGTGTAACATCACTTCAGCTTTTTAAATTGCAACACTAACACGTTTTTTTTGGAACCATTTTCTTTTACCGCCATTTTTTTTAAACAAGGGAACCTGACCACTAACTTTAAAACCTTTAATATCTACTCTGAGCCTTCCAAAAGATAAAATATTGTTTTTTTTTTCTTTTTTAACAGTGTCCTGTATAACGATGCGGCAATAAGAATAATTGTCTTGATGCCAAATAGAGAGCCCAACAGATTTTGCTTTCACAAGTGGAGCAGTACGGCTATCACCATAGTGTTCCGCTTGATTTATGCATATAAATAGCTTTATTAAAATTCATGCAGGGAGTATTACAGATTATATGGACACTGCAATGTAAGTAGAACATGAAAGGAAAAACAGAAAACAGGAGAAAAGATGAAAGGAAGAGGATATAAAAAGGGAGATAAAAGGGAGATAACGATAAAACATCTTCAATCGGCTTCATCACCTGCAACGAGATGTAAAAAAAAAACAGCACAACCAACGAATATAGCATAAGAGACACAATAAAGTAAGACCATGACACAATCGCTGAAGTATAAGTAGTATTATTTAATCTGACATGCATACTGTGGTAGCTGAAGATCCGAATATGGGATCTCTAAGTACCTGGAGCCAAGCACCTGTAGTTGTTTGTGAGAGAGCACTTGTACATTTAGAGTTTATCCAAAGGAAAAATGCTCAATAGTGGTTGTGAAGAGCCAAAGACGCGCCCCTCCAAAGCACCGAGGCGAGCGCCGGGGGACCCAAAGCCCCAGATGCCCAAAGGGATTCCAAGAGCGAAGGCGTCCAGGAGGGGCCAACCCAGGAAATCCGACCCCCCACCAAAATATTGTTTTTTTTTAACGGCTGTTGCATCTTTAAATAAGCAAGTCGCCACACTAAGACCCTAAGGCTAAGCTGGATGTTGTGTCATCACCTTGGAAACAAAAGAAAGGAAAGAAAATACATTTTCTTATTAATTTGGCATAAGCTGCAGGAGAAGGAACTATGTAAACTAGTTGTTTTTTTTTAAAGTAACATTGAAGCTTTTATTAATGGAGGTTTGTTGGTTTTTTCTAGTCAGAATGGAGTCTTGTCTGGTCAGACGAACTAGTGACAGTGCCTCCCCTGGGCTTTACTCACACAGATTTACCTTTAGGATCTTTATCATTGTCTTTGTTTGGATGCAGACCCTTAATGCTGAGTGCTCTCACTTGTTCCTCCCATTTAAGTCAGCCCTCGGCTAAAGGAAAAAAGTCTCTGTTTCTTTGTCTGCTGCTGCTTGAATGGATTTGTATCTGACCAGCTGCATAATCTTGCTCGTTATCTTTGGCACAATATAGAGTGCTTTTTACCTTTCGATGGCTCCTCCACCTGCTTCCGCTTTCCGCATTGTTGTGAACAGAACCCCCTCCCCATAACTTGGCCTTCCTGCTTCTTTTGAGCTTCTATAAGTGTGTTTCTGTGTGTGTGTGGTGCAGGCTTATATAGAAAAAGTCATGTTGCCAAATATTTTGCTGTTGACTGCAGAAAATCAATGTTGTGTCCTTTGGTAGAGATCTAATGATTGCGTGTACACTTTATCAGGCTTTATATGTCAGAAATGTCTGTAAACATTGCAGCAGAGGAAGCAAACCAATACCAACTCATACCCTTCATACTTTGCAGACCAGAGGATATGATTAACAAGAAAGCAGGAATGCAAAGTCTGTAGAAGTGCAACTTGTTTTCTGGCAAACAATTTCCCTGTTGAAATGCCACAGGATTTTATTATGGCATGCATTTGTATTTTAAACTGTTTCAATCGTACCATGTTCTACAGAATTACTTTATTTGAGGTAAATAGCATTAAAAAATATAGATTTCTGAACAAATAGTCAAATAAATACTATTCAGATGCAGTATTCTTTAAAGTGAAACCTTTTTTAAAATAGTTTTAGTCCATCTGAGGCTGATTTATAATAAACTGACATGTCAGTAGATAACATAAATGCTGCTGACTCTAAAGCTGTCCTCCTGTTGTGAATTGTTACTCAAAGGTCTGGGTGCTCCATCATACTGCTGTATAGACTATATGTTAATTCTGCTTTCCTCTTCCTGCAGGGGAGATGAGGAATGACCTCTACATGACGCTGGAGAAGGGAGAGTTTGAGAAGGGTGGGAAGAGCGTTGCTCGTAATGTGGAGATCACGGTTTACGTCCTGGACGCTGATGGACAAATCCTCAAGGTAACAAAAAAAGGCTTTTTGAATTTTTTTTTTAAGGTTTTGATCAGAGAAGTTTGAAGCCGTTTGTTTCAAAATGGCACACCCAGATGGGAGCTGGGTGTGTCTGATATGTTGGCAGTTTCGTCTCCTGTTTGACTTTTTGCCGCTGTGGTTTCCTGCAATGCCTCGGTCTTGGAGAGAAAAAAAAAAAAAAAAACCGCAACAGCACATAAACATCCACATAAAGCTTGTCCTCATAACTCTCTTGCTACTCCTTTGTTTCTCCACCCGCTCACCTCTTAACTGCCTTTGTCTTTCAGGGTTATGTGGCTGCCGGCTCCGGTGAACCAGGCACAGATGACTACCACTCTCTGGTGCTGTACCACAACAACAGCCCCCGCTGGGCGGAGCAGATCAAGCTGCCCATCCCAGTTGACATGTTCCGAGGGTCTCATGTCCGCTTCGAATTTCGGCATTGCTCCAGTAAGTGAGCAGTGACACTGTCTGCAGCACAATTCAACACAATTTGCAGAGCTTTGAGTTACAGTGAATGTTGTCTCCCTTGCCGGCTTGCTGTTTGCCTGTCTGGATGTATTATAGGCAGAGTTTTCTTCTTGCATGTACATTTTAGAACACAATTGAAAGTTTCTCACCCATCCTTTTTTTCAGGATTCCAATTTCATATTTCCAGATTTGATTCCCTCATACAGTTGTCTATCTTACCTATATTCTCCTGGTATATTTTCTACCTCTGTTTATTTTTTCTTTCTGTCGTTACATTTTCCTTTCTGTTTTTAATGCAGTTTTGTAGTTCTGTCTATCCTTGCTTCCTTGTGCCCTCTTTTCCTCCTACTATTTGCTCAGCACCTTCTTTCTCTTCCCTTGTTCTTATACCTTCCTGCCCTGCTTGTGTCTTTTTCAACCATTTTTCTGATCCTTTCCTTGTCTCATATTTCTATCTTTCATTCCTTCCTTGTGTCCAACCTCCCATCTTTGCCTTCCTTCCTTCTCCCTTAAATCCTCCCTATACAGCATCTCTCATTACTTGAAACCTTCCTTGCATCCCTGCTTGTGTCCCTGCTGTTATTCTTCCTTCCTTCCAGTTTCTAGTTTTTATCAGTTCTATTTTGAAGCAGGTCAACTGAAAAATAAAAGTCACTATTTTTTCAAGTAAAAAATGTATAAACTATTCACCTTTCCAAACACCATGGCCAGAAGTAAAGCTGTTTCATAGTGACTTTGCCATCTTCTGACTCTCAACTGTCTGACTCTACATTTTACAGCCCATTTATTCATCTCCACATCTCAGTATTTTATCCTGGATCTTTTTATCATAACTAGCTATTATTATTGTTTTTAAGCCAGTCGACTGTGTGGCGGTTTACAGTAGACTTAACAGCCTTATTAATCTCTGGGGGGCTTTTATTACATCCCATCGGCTGCTTGTTAGAATCCTATTTTAAACCTTTGGTGACATTAAAGTTAGGGAGGCCAAATAAGATGCTTAAGTGAAGTTAAGTGATAAATGCTTAAGGAAAAATTAGCAGCTGTGATCAACCAAGATCCTAAATGTGAACAAGGTAATATTCACATGTAGAGGTGCATTTTATTTATTTATTTAGTTATTCATTGCAAAATAATGTAACTTAAATAGATGCAATATAAATGTCTCTATTCACAAAATTCAGTTTTCTTTATGTAAAGTATTTATAACAGGAGGGACAGCTGTGTCTGTAAACCATTATGAAATTCCAAACTGCTAAAAGGGTTTGTGTGAACTACTTAAAACGATTTGTCGCCCTAAAAGTATTTCGGGATAAACAAGGCTCGCCCAAAATATCTACAGCTGTTTCCTGGCTCCACGCCTGCTTAACGGTCTTTACAAGGAGCAGCATTCACACTTCAGCCTGATTTCTATTAAAAACATAAAAAATTTGAGTGAATTTTTTTGGCATGCCTCAAAATCTATAATTTGCAAAGGAGAGAGTGCCTAATTGCTAGACCTTATACTGCAAATTAAGTCCTTTGAATTTTTAGCTCATTTTAGCATCCTCTTTAGAGTTTGTAATTGCAAGAGATCTCATAATCCTCGTAAAGGTTCAAGATGGTTAAATTTGTATTTGCTGTAAATAATGACAACATTAGACAATATTGTTTTTAAACCATGTCCTCTCTTAGGAAAATCAACACACTTTAATCTGAATTGAATAATATGCTAAATAAGTTTTACCATTTTTGACATATCTTTATCAAAATGATTCTTCTGTGTCACATCATGTAATAAATGACATTAAGCAAAATTTTTAACCTAAGATTTTATTTTTTTTACTAAATCAAATGTACTAAAATTAAATTATTCCTCAAATGTACCATTCATCTTTCAAACACTGTTAAACTTTAAAAATAAAGTTTGATTATCTATGATGACTCTTAACACCACACAGATTTTTTTACTAGACAGAAATGTTCATTTGTAGTTTTTTATTTTATATATTTCTCCAGTTTATATTCAATTGCTTGATGAAGTAGGCACTCAATGATGCACATGCATTAAATTGGAAGAATTGCGAGCATTTTGCTCCTTTGTATGCACACTTGGCGTTTCGCTACTATGTAAACAGAAGCATCAGATTGCATGTGATACGTTGGGTTTTTGGGATAAGGGTAGTCAGCAGTATAGTAAGTCCATCATGTAATTACTGCACCCTTTGATTGACACAGGTAGTTTATCCCACATTACCATCAAATATTTATTAAGGTAATTTTTCAAAAGCTTTTATTGATAATGTTTACTTTTGCTGCAGTGTTTTCTTGTGTTCCCTGTAAAATGCAGCAGTTTACTGCAGATAACGTTTCTGTACAAGAGATTGCAAAGGTATGTTTTCCCAAGCAGAGATAATTGAACCTGTTTAAGGGTGCAACCTTGTGACAGGAAAAGGACAGCTGAAACCAAATTGGGGAAAGTCAGGTCACTTAACAGTGCAACATTGCAGAGCTATCCTAATTCCTGTTCATATATAAGCTGGGTTTAGCACTGCAGCACACCTGGCAGACACAATTACAATTAAAACATTTCCTTTAACAACAGTTTTTTTATCAGCCATGTTGAAAATCATATATTATTTATGGTTACCATATGAATATCTACAAAAAGTCCCTTATATTTGTTTGTATATGTGTTTTTTTTTCCTGCAATTAGGATGTTCCTAATGTATCCAAATCACCACGTATTTACAAAGTTGAAGCTGATTTTATCCAAAAACAAAGCTAATTTTGACCTGATTTATCATATCTTTTCAAATCTATTCCTGTCGGTTTACTTGCAGTCTTCTTTTGTCTATTTTGGGCTGATATTGATGTCCATGTCTCGTTGTCTGACAGCTAAAGACAAGGGAGAGAAGAAACTGTTTGGCTACTCCTTTGTTCCTCTGATGCAGGAAGATGGCAGGACTCTGCCAGATGGCACCCATGAGCTCATTATCCACAAGGTAAAAACTGCTTATCCTTAGTATCAAGGTCTGCCTGAGCAGCACTGTATTAAACACTGTGTCCTTGGTAAGCTTTTGCTCGTCCAGTCACATTCTGTTGATTAGTAAAATGCTTCATCACATCTTGCATGTATGATCTCCCACCAATTGGCTTTTGGGAGTACTTAATAGGGGTTACCAGCCCTGTTTATTATTATGAGTCATCTCTGAATTGCAGAAACTACTTATCTGATTAATCATACTGCTTGTGCCACAGGTTGAGATGCAGTTCACATTGCACCCAATAGGCCAATGAGTAAAACCCTTTTGAGGTCAAATTTAACCTCAAGCCAAAGCAATGCAAAAAAAAAAAAAAAGACAGTTTGTTCCTTTTTTTTTTTTTTTTTTTTAACGTCACCATATAGTTTCACACATTCAGAGTTTGAGGTGTTACAGGACTAATAAAAAATAGATAAACGTCTTCTATTAAAAGCCATTGCTACTATGTCGTGAGTGCAAATATCACCGTTCGGTGGAGGTTTAGAAGACTCAAATGCAAAGATCTGCATGCAGAGGTTCATCTTGTAGATTTAACGATAGAACTGAGGCAATATTCAAGAACCAAAGGACCAGAAAACATCAGGAAAAGCTCAAGTGGGAAGCCACAGATGACAAAGCAACTAAACAACAAAAAGGAACCAGCACTGAGTGAGTGCAGAGGTGGAGTATATAAGGGGAACAGAACAAGGATGGGCTAATGAGCCGAACATAGAATAATTGAGATTGGAACTTACTAGAAGGAAGCAAAGAGGAAAGGAAACAAGCACAAGGGGGTAACATAGAGTAACTAATGACTGCCTGATATAATGGAAAATAAACCAAAAATCAACAAAACAGAACAACTTATACTGTAACTGAAAACTAAACACTCAGAGTCCCAAAAGGGCAGAACCATAACAGCAAATTTTTTTAAGACTACATTGTTTCTCCTTAGCCAGATCTACAAACCTCCAGCAATTTTAGCCATCTAAAAAAAACAAGGTTATTGTACTGCATGTCCAACCCATGTCCTGTATATATGGAACCATTATTTATCCCGCACTTGCTGCTATTGCACTTCTGGTTAGACCTAAACTGCAATTTGTTGCCTTGTACCTGTACCTGTATAATGACCAAGTTCAATCTAATCTAATCTACACTGTTGTCTGATAACACAATATCTAGTTTTGTCCGTCCCTAAATTTGTGCTCTGCCTATTTTTCAGGCCAACTTCATTAGCTTTGCATGCTCCCACCATGAATGGGGTGAAGTCCCATTGTAATGTCTGATGGATAGTTGTTGAGAAACTCAATGAAACTGGCCTAGTTTCTACTCAGACCCGAAATAGACTAAAGAATCAAAGCCTCAGATTTATACTAGATTTAAGCTTTATAGAGGCAAATATTGATCTCCAGATACTAAACTGGGTGTTCACCTCAACTTTAAGTCTCTTATACCAAATTGCATACAGATTGCTTTTCCTGCATTTAATTTATATCGCAGAAATACATTTCGACTGTTCTGTTGCTTTAGGTTTGTTATACAGTTAGCTCATTTAGCTCATTATTTTGTACTATTGTGTTGCTCTAGTGTGAGGAGAACACCAGCTTTGCGGACTGTACCCGCTACCTAAAGTTGCCGTTCTCCAAAGTCAATCTTCCTTCAAACAATCAGACACTGAAAGGCACCAAAGAGTCTTTCTGGATCACCAGCTTCCTCTGCTCCACCAAGCTCACACAGAACGGTAAGGGATTCACTTCTGATATTTTTCCAAATTTTAGTTGGCATGTTTACACTTGATTACCGAGTTTTGAGGCTTCTGTTTCTTGGAGATGCAGTGCATGAATTTGGCGTAGAGGATGGTGTGTCCACTTGTTTATTGAGTTTATGTGCAAGCTAGACAAGTCTGCAGCATAGCAAATTACTGTAATACAGGTGGTTAGAAGAGCATCACATACAATCCAACATTATTGTTAACTTTTTTGTAAAATCTCCCTCCTACTGTAAAAATTATTTTCTGACCAGCTGTCTTAAAGTATCATCAACTTAAAAACACAGATGTTTATCCAAAGTTACAGGATTAAATTGTCTTAAGGGTGAGATTTTTTTTTCCTGTAGTTTTTAAATATATTCTTGGATACAGCAGTTAGAATAGCAAGCTTCCTAAGAAAATACTATTTGTAGTTAATCTCCCCTGTGGAGGGAGCCATTGCTCACCTTCTCAACATCTGTCCAGTTAGCAGTTATCCCCATGGTTGTGTAGCTTATTGACCCAGGCTAGATCAGGGGTTCCCAAACATCGATTCATGTTAAAATAATTTTGTTTTATATGATAAATTTTATTATATAATTATTTTATTATTAAATTTGTTTTTTCTTTCAATTAATTATTTTTCATAATAATAATTGAATTTCATTGACCTCATATTGGAGAAGGCTAAGAACTCTCTGCATTTAACCCATCCCCTTGGGGAGCAGTGAGCTGCCATTGTGTTGCGCATGGGGAGCAGTATTGGGTTAAGGGTCTTGCTCAGGAACCCAGAGTGAAGGCAGTGGGATTAGAACCGGGTACTTGCAACCTCTTCAGAGCACAAGCGCACTGCTCTTAGAGGGACATTTAACAATTTAATAAATAACAATCAATGATTTATCAGTAAGAAATCATTAAAATGAGAAGAAATACAGGCCTGAAATATTTATTTTGTAAAGCAGGCATCCCCAACCTCGCCCCTCGAGGGCCGCTGTCCTGCAGCTTGCAGAGGTTTCCTTGCTCCAGCACAGCTGATTTTAATTGAAAGCTGATTAACATTAAAATAAGCTGTGCTAAAGCAGGGAAACCTCCAAAACCTGCAGGACAGCGGGCCTCGAGGACCGAGGTTGGTGATGCCTGTTGTAAAGAATATATTTGAGTTTGCCTTTGAAATACTAAGCAACAAAAATGTTGAACTGTTTTCCAATATTCTAATTATTTCAAATGTATCTCAATGTGAAAAAGATGGAGAGGCTTGGATTTACAGATTCCCTCTAGCAATATGTATTTCTAGAGTTTTAACTATTAGGAACATAAAAAAAAAAAAAAACTCAATCTAATGGTTGATATGAGTGGAAAAAGGGTTCTGTGTAAGGTTGAATTTCATAGAACTATTCAAGTCAGACTGCAATAACAGATGTGTAAATATTAAGAGAGGAAACTTGGCCTTTGTGTTAGTAATTAGGAGAAAGAGTGATACAGTACCTACCTAGCAACATCTGGCTATTGTATTTATTGTGAACAAAAGACATGGAGTCCACCACAAAGTTTACACTACTTGGATACCTTTTCCTTTCAGCAATAAAAATCTGCACTGCAATGTGTATCCTGCTCTGTTCCATGTAGGCTCTCTGCAAAAGGAAAAAACAGTCTATATGCAACTTTAATGTGCAATGAACACACATGTCTATTTCCCCATTGAGGAGTGTAAAAGTCCCCTTTTCAACATAATGAGATAGGAGGTTTTCTCAGAAGACGTAAACATACTTGAGATGCTGAAGAAGTGCATTGATTTTTTTTTTTTTTTTTTTTTTTTAGCAGACTGGTTGTTGAAACGTTCTTTATGGGTTAGATAGATCCTTACAAGGTAGATTAGAGGAATATTTTTAGTCAAACTGTGGCATGCACACGCAATGTTAGATTTTACACATACAGTAGCACAAAAGATCCGCCTTAGAAAAACTCAGGAGACAGTTGAAAGGCTTTCTTTTTAAGGCTTATGTTTTATTCATCCAAGCGTCTGGGGACCCTTGCTCGGGAAAATAACTGTTTACCTCCTCCATCCCACCACACCAGAGAACGGTGTCATTTGTTTGGATCCGCTGGTGTTTTGAGGCTATAATTGAATGAGTCTGAGACAGCAGAGTTAAGTTTTGCTCTGCTTGTTACGTTTTTATTCACTTAAGACAGAGACTTGCAGCTTCAAGTCTTGTCACTCTCTTAATTATTTCGATGCATACATGTTTGGCTCTTTTTAAAGGTGACATGCTGGACCTGTTGAAGTGGCGAGCCCACCCCGAGAGGATCAATGACAGCCTAACGAAACTGAAAGAGATAGACGGGTCTGAGATTGTCAAAGTAGGTTTATCTTTTCTGTTTCCCATTAAATTTAAATCCACCCAGTACGCTCAAGTGTAAATATATGTATGCTTTACTGCATTAATCAGTTTCTTCAGGACACCTTAGACACCCTCTTTGGCATTCTGGACGAAAGCTCTCAGAGATACAGCCTCAAGGTGTTTGATTCACTCGTAAGTACATTTTTTGCACCCCTTCTCATCTTCTCCATCTACAAAAAGGACAAGTACAGATACCCAAACTTAAAAAGAAAGATTGTGATGTAACGCTTCACAGCTCGCTAAACCAATCCTGGCGTCCTCGTGCTTCACAGAGCAGAGGCGGTAGATCGATCTCCAGGCCTCTTCTCCTGTCTCTCCATGCATCAGGCTCACACTGAGGCATAAACACACTCTTTCCACACTTTTTTTTTATGATGAAAACACCTGGTGAGCCACTCTTCTCTTCAAATTAGCTTTTTATGGTTTTGAGATCGGTCCAAGAAGCTTGACAAGGTTTGGGCAAAATTCTTACAACATCATAGAATCAATAAAGGCCCCAAAAGGCAGTCAGATACATTTTTCATATAGTTTAATATACAATACAATTTTTATGCACAATATTGTAGTGCAGTTTTATTTTAATACTCCAGAAGTGCAAAAACTAGCCTATATTATTACTGTTTTATATGAACGACCAAACAAAATGGATGCATTACAGTAAAATAGATCTGTGTAGAATTTTCAGAAAATATATACTCGTAAAAGTTGTATGTATTTGTATTTTAAATCCATTTAATCTGCTACTACTTAACGAAAAGGCTAAATTTGGACCTTTCTGCTCTGTGTCTTGGAAAACTGGCACTGCATTTTAATCTGAATCTTCCAAACTCTGCAGTCGCAGTAAAATGCTATTAGGATGTTTTTGCTGTTGTTGTTTTATCAGTAATATCAAGAAAGCTGGTTGACTGAGCTTGAAAGGCTAAAAATATAGTTCTCTGGCTGTTCTCTGGCTGTGCTAAACTCATTCCCAAAAAGACTTTCACTAGGGAAAAGTGGTTTTAAAACTTATCAAAATAAAAGTAAATTTGCATGCACAATTTTCAGAGAATTTTTTGTTCTTGTAAAAAAAAAATAAATAAATAAATAAATGAGCAGGTCAGAATACAAATATAAAATGTGCACAGAGGGCTTTATTTATTTCTACTTCTAATAATTATTCCCCAACAAAATGTTTGGCTTTGATTACAACTCAGGAGTTTTAAAAGAGGGCTGAATAAGGATGCATGCCTGACATTTAAAAAAAAATTATAAACAGTGCATAATTTTCCTTCTGCCACCATATGCTGCTACGACGGTAAGAAATGCAAACTAAGAACGATGTGTCCGTTTTTTGTTGTCATTACCAGGTTCATATCATCAACCTCCTTCAGGACAGTAAATTCCAGCACTTCAAACCAGTCATGGACACCTACATTGAGAGTCATTTTGCTGGAGCTTTGTCCTACAGGTCTGTAGATTCTCTGTTTCTGGTTCCCTCATGCGTAGCTGCTTATGGACAACAGCAGCACGTAGCTGGAGCATGAGCTCTGCAGCCTTTCCTGCTTATTGCATTTTAATATATCACAACAACCAGACTACAGCATTGCTGAGAGGTGCCTCTGTACAACCTGCTGCTTTGAGTCAAGTTGAGGAATAAATACAATGCTCATGGTGCCACCTGGCTGATGGAAAAGGAATTATTGAACTCCTCAAAAAACATGCAGACTGTATACTACTGCAAACTTAAAGTGATGTTTTCTTTGTTTTACTCTGACCTGACAGACTCTGTAGACATCTCCTCTAGAACCACTAAAAAGGCTCTCGTTCCGCTGCAGTTCCAAATAAGTCTTTCCACTTTTTATATTCTGTCACCTTACAACAAAAAAAAAATTGTATTTTATTGGGAATACATGCATTTGTTTGTTCTGGAAAAATGTTCAGGATTATTGTCCTACTGGAACTTAAAATGTTGCCCTGGTTTTAAATCTTCTGCAGCCTTTTTCAGGGTTCCTTCCATGATTTCCCAGTCTTCATTGCCATCTGTCTTGCCTTGAACTCTGAGCAGTTTGATCTATCTACTGCACAGCATGTGGTAAACTATAAAAGGACATTTCACCATATATTTCTTAAATCAAAGGCTTTCATAATGAAATATTTAGAATGCTCAACAAACGGTCTTATCTCTGCAAGTTACCATGGTCCTGGTGGCTCCTTCAATGATGAAGGCTCCCCTTCACTATTGTTATGTCAGGTGGAGGCCATGTCTTTGAAGCTTTTCAGTCATTACTTAATCTTTCTGCTTATGGATGATAGATAAAACAGTCCTCTGTGAGACATTAAACTTCTAAATGAGTTCTAAAACCAAACTGTTCTTTAATATTAGCCCCTACTTTGTACATAGTTTGTCTAATCTCTATGCCCTTAGCAGAAAAGCGGCATCATTGTGAACTTTGCATCATACAAAGAAGCTAAATGCTAAAATCATTGGATGACTTATGAAGGGAGATGTTGCACTTTATCTATTGCTATCAAACTAGTAGTAGGCATGCGTCTCACACACGTCACTGATCTGTCATTTTACTTCTACCTAAAAAAAAATCTTCTAATTCGTGTTAGCATATCACAAAAAATGGTGAGAAAACAGATTTTCTTGGCTGTAATGTGACCAAATCAGGTTTATTCACATCATGCTTTTATCAAAAGTAGATTTTTTAATCTGCAATATTTTTTTATTGCATTCAATATTCCATCATTACTCTCAGCTGCACCATTAGCGTCAGCCATGTTGATTAACTGGGTGCAACAGGGTTGCATGTAACACCACGTCATTGCCTCATGGGCTGTGTTTTTACCCGCCAGTTGAGAAAAGCGTTACAAATTTAGATAAACTGGGATGTGTCTATGTCTTCCCCAGGGACCTGATCAAAGTCCTGAAATGGTACGTGGATCGCATTATTGACGCCGAACACCAGGATCATATACAGCAGGTCCTCAAGGTGAGGCACACATAACGGTAGCCAGTGAGTTCATTTCAGACTATATGTCATATGAAATTACAACATTTACACAGAAACACACAGATTTATCCTCTCTCACTTTCGCTTCCTCTGTCTCTTATTCGGTTCCTCTGTCAGTCTTGCTCTAAGAAGGTTAAATCAGCAGAAACACAATACCTCCGGTGCTGAGAATCCTCATCATTTTATTCTAATGATGCATGTTGAAATATACTGCAACTTGTCTGCTGCTAAACAGTAAATGGGGAAAATACGTCGCAGACAAATCTGCAGCACTGCGCCACAGAAGTAATCAACTGATACTGTGCTTTATTAGAACAACTAAAAGTCATGGGGAATGAGGTGCATGTCTCAAGATTTAAATCATGTAATGATTCCATAAATGTACATAAATTAAGAATAAAATTGAAGTTGTTAGACTATGATTTATTCATCACTCAATAGATGTAGAAAAGACTTTTCATGTACTTGTTTTTGTTTTTGGTTTGGTTTTATCAGTTTTTGTTTTTTTTTTTTTTGTGTTGTTGTTTTTTTTTGTTTTTGGTTTGGTTTTATCAGTTTTTGGAGGATACCTGGCTCGTCTTTGCACAGAAGCTTGAAATAAAAGAAGTTTGCCAATTTTTTATGACTTTACAAATCCTTTAAAGTAATATTTTAATCAGGTTGACCTTGACTGAACCATTGGAAACGCTGATTCTTTGATTTTTTTTTTTTACTTTCTCATTTATAGCTCTGCTGGACTTTTTGTTATTCAGTTAGTATTGATAATATAACTTTCAGGATTTAGGCTTCTTTTGTCTCATCTATCCCCAGAATGCAACTATTTTATTTTAATTCTGATACGTCTGATAGCCTAAAGTCAGCCCTAGTCTGTTAAAAGAGAAAAGGCTGTCTCCTGGAAACCCTTCCAAACAAATTATAGCTGTTTACTATATTTTTCTGAATGTGATCTTTTGAATTCTGAGCTCTGAATAGTTTGGATTTGCTGTTAACATTTCCTCTTCTTATGTAACTAGTTACAGCCTGTTGTGTTGTCCATATAGTAAAAAGTGGACAAGAATGGACGTAAGGTTATGTAGAAATCAGTTTATAACCTTCCTGAGTTTAAAGCGCTGCAAATATTGCCTTTTGTAGGTCACTGCTGATCTCTTCTGTCTCGGTTGTTTTTTTAAAACTCACAAACATACCACCACTTTTATGTTTTTTTCCCCTCTAATTAAGTAAAGAAAATTTCTGTATTATTTTGTGTATTTGAAATTTAATTAAAATTATTTTAGGATAAGTTTTTTTTTTTTTTTTTTTTGTCTTAATAAACTAAACTATAGAGTTAAACTAGGGTTTACATTTTTCTGTTACGGGTATGCAAACATAAATATAGACAAGTTTCACAGGAATTTTTTGGTTCATTTCTGCCACCAGGCTAATTCTGCTACTTAATTCTTGTAGAATAAGGTCAGTGATTGTTGGCGTTGCATAGTGATGGCTGTAAAATGGGTATATTTTTTTATATTTCTTAAAAGAAGATGGTTTATCAACTCCTCACCATGCTATATTAAATTATGAGGATAATAAGACGAAAAAGTCTAATGTTAAAACCAGTAAAATTTCGCTGCAGTTTGTCAAGTCCATAGCGGTAGACGAGAACGCCAGAACAGTCAGAAAATCTCTGAAGTTTATCAATACTTACATAACAGCAAGTCAAATGTTAGCTGATACACAGATGGGGCAATTTGGTGAAAATGAAGGCAGATGTTAAACCGATTGCTGTCATAATGCTGGGGTGGTCGTTACAGAGGAAGTAGAGATAGCACCTGTACAGTCGGACCTGACCAGTCATGCAGGCACATAGCTGCCCTCCTATCACCAGAGTCCAGTATCATCAGAGTTTGCAAATTAGAGATGCCATTACTTTGAAAGCTTTAAAACCAAAATAATTAAAAACTACAACAATAAAAGAGTGATTTAATTCACCAACAAACTGTAATTGTTGACTTTCTCTGTTCTCCAGGCCAGCGATTACATCTTCAAGTACATTATTCAGTCTCGCCGGCTCTTCTCTTTGGCCACTGGCGGTCAGAACGAGGAGGAGTTCAGAGTCTGCATCCATGAGCTCTTCATGTCCATCTGCTTCTTCCTCTCACAGGAGAACAAAGGCATCAGTCCAGTTGCTCAGACTCAGGTGTGTGTCTAGATCTGTGTTAGTCTTTGCTAAAACATGCAGTAAGCCTTATGAAAAATAAAAGTCAAAGACGCTCACCTCTGTATGTACAAATCTCTGCCTGCTGCTGCATGATGCACCGCACCATTGGTTCTTTGTGGAGGATGATAATGCTGTGGTGATGAGTTGTGATTCTGTCTTTAATTGATTTTTATGGAGCCAGAGGAGCCCGAAGTCAAGAGTTAGAAATTTCGGTGACTGTTTTCCTTTTCTTTTTTTTATTCCTTTGTTTTCTTTCCTTTTCTGGTGGGAGGCTCGCACAGCGGGACGGCTGCTTTCTCGGATTTCAACTTAGACCAAAACAAGCAAGTTAAAGATGCCAAAGATAATCCTAATTACACAGTGGGAACAAATGACTGTGTGGCTGAACACTGTTGTCAGGAAATTATTTCAGAGTGTTTGTGTTCTGTTGCCTGTTTGATCTTTTGTCCGCTCTTCCTGTTTGAACAATTAGAATAATTTACAGCTCTCCAAAGAAGGAGTTGTGTAGACCCCCCTAAGCTTTTAATACACTATCTGGATTACAATTGTGGTCTTTTGCAAAAGTATTAACACACCCTAAGAGACAACAGCCCTTTGGAGTTTAACATTCTGAATTTATGCTTTATGGCTGTGTTCACACTGCAGGCCTTGATGCTCAATTCCAATTTTTTTTGTGAAATCAGATTATTTTTTTGCGTTGCCGTTCATATTTCCAAATATATGCGACTTGTATGTGATCTCCTGTGTGAACTGCAGTCAAAGACACAAGTGTCCCGCTGGTGCAGTAGAGGACAAAATGACTTCACGGGCCAGCGTGCTCTATTTTTACGGAAGTAAACATGGATGGTAGTGCCGGAGCGCATCTAGAGGTCTTTTCCAACCATAAAAACTCAATCTTTTCAATACGGTGAAACATAAATACTGCTCTCCACATCATTGTCCGCCATGGTTGTTGTTTTTCTTGCCGCTTCTGCGTAGCAAGACTCAGAATAGTGACATTTGTCGGGTATTAATGATGTGCAGGTCGGATGAATGCGACCTGTGTCTGAACGGCCAGGTCGCATTTGAAAAGATCAGATTCGTGTCAGATTCAGGACCACATAGCCAAGTGGCCTGGGTCGCATTGGAAAAATCGGATCTGTGTTGTTCAGACTGCCATGAAAAGATCAGATCCAGGTCGCATATGGGCCAAAAAATCGGATTTGGGTCACTTAAGGCTGCAGTGTGAACGTAGCCTATGAAACCCTATTTCTAAGATCAATGCATCAGAACACTGAACAGCTTCATCAGAAGATAGAAATGCTGCAAACATGCAAGAGGCTGCTCTGATTGAATGACAGCAACTTTTTGTTTTGTTTTGGCCCCATTAAACACTGCAATGAAAACAAACACTGGAAATCGCTATGAGCACCCCAAACCTCCTACAGCGTTACTACAGCTAGGTGGTGGCAGCATCATTTTCCCAAAGCAGGGACTAAGAAGATTGGCAAAGATAATGGAAGAATTCCGGTGCTAAATACTGTGCAACTCTAAACTAAAAAAAGCTTTTCAGATTCACCTTCTAGCAGGACAGAAAGCCAAATCTTTTTGAATTAAATTAGTGTTACTGAAGAATTTCCAGTGTATTTAAAGTAGACCTGAATTCAGATAGTAGTTTGTGGCAATAAAGATTTGAGTGATCTTTAGAAAATAGACGTAGATTTTTAGATCCTTATGTGCATAGTTTGCAGAGAAGAACATATAACAAATTTAAAGCTTTACTGCAACTGTTTTAAAAAGAGCTTTTACCAGTAAATGAAAGAGCAGAGTTGCATACAAATGCATGCTGCAGATTATTTATTTGAAAAAAAAAAAGCCTCTGAGATGATGCACTACGTTGTTTTTATCCATCAGATATCCTTTAAAAATCTAATTAAAAAATACATTTTCTTTTAAGAGTTTAGCAGGAAAAAACCTAAACATTCTTAAGGCTTATAACTTTTTGCAAGACACCTTATAAGTACATAATTAGATCTCCCTAAAGATGCACTCTGCTTCTGACTGCTACTGCACTCTGACTTCTAATTGGTGTTAATCTTTTTCTACAAAACAGTACCTGTGGGAGGATGCAGCTCAGGCTGCTGTTAATCCCACCGAATCTGCAGCCTTCGCTGTTCAACAAGCAATAACCCTTTGAGAATTTGGGGTGGATTAGGGTTAGGGTTGATAAAAGGTGATATTTCTACATTTTAGCGCATGCTTGTGTTTTAGTTTTAATGAGAATCATCATCTTAAAAAGTTCTGGTCAGCAACGTTCTGTTGAATCCTCTTAGCCCCAAATTACAGAAGCTCCAATCAAATCACCTTTGAGTTGTTTTCTCTTTTTGTTTTGTAGTGCAGATCGACTTTGGTTTTATTAATAAAATATCTCTTTAATGACACAGCAGTGAATATGAATATTTGCTGTGTGCTTTGTTGTAAAAATTAACATCTGGTGTGATGAATCCCCTGACTACACTCCTTTTTCTCTCCTCTTTGCAGCAATAGACTTTCATCATGCTGTTTTGATTTAGCCAAAGATTTACTAAATGTACCAAAGTATTATTTACTGTATGAATTATCTTTGCTTGTGCATTCAACAAAAGGTTTCTTTTCATCTTATGTTAACCTTAAAGGCTTCTGGATGAGGGATTTGAATAGTGGTGATATTAAACTTGTGAATGTGACTGAGCAGTCCTGGTTTTTCTCCCTTCAGGCGGTGTTCCTGCGAACGTTCCCGGCCATTTACAGCGAGCTGCTGAAGTTCTTCACTGTTCGAGAGGTGGCCGGTTTTGTCCGGGAGACACTGGGTAGTCTGCCCAACGTAGTCCAAGCAGACAGTCCCCTGGAGCCTGTCAAACTGCAGTGCATTTCCAAGACAGTGGAAAGCCAGCTTTACATTAACCCAGGTAAATCCAAATACATGAATGCTTTAAAATCATAAGGAAATCATATTGAAATGTCAAATCATTCTGTCTTAAACATGTATATAAATGTACTCTTTGTAAGATGATATTATCCCAAAATTTAGAAAAATTCTATTTAAAAAAAAAAAATCCTGTCTTAAAATCTGTGTTGTTGTTTTTTTCATTATCTTATGCAGGCCAGTTAATTATACGTTAGTCTGTACACCTTAATTTGGCCAATCACATATATCAATGGTCATCTGTCAATGAAATTATTTCGGTCATAGCATCTTGATTCATATGTCGCAGCTAATATACGCAACGGTTGAAATAAGAATAATTTACTTTACCTTTGAGTTACGTCCCAGAGCAACGCTGCCAAAGCTAGCAGAACTGACACTGTTGCGAGGCAAGGGCTCAAACGTGTACAGCTGTAAGTCTTCTACACATAACGAAGCTTCTGCCGCCCAGGCGTCCTCTTCCACAACAGCTTCGTCCACACTTTCCTCCTCTAAATAAAAAATTTATGACGGAGGAGGCTTATCTACGACCTCCGACACAAAACTCTTCTCCTCTTGCATGTTTCTGCTGTCCATAGCGTTCCTTGACAGTGTCGTTGCTAAGTCACCAATTTAGTGCTACTTGGTCCCAATGGAATTTCCCATTGGGAACCTACTTGCACTATGTTTCTAACTGGTTAGCAAGATGCTTATGAGAACTTGCTTGCGAACTCTCCGCCACAACAATCCCGCCATCTTGATCATGACCAATCAAATTCACTTTATTCACTCGTGTTTCCCTATGACTTTAAAGGAAACATGTTAAAACAAATCCATATTCCTACACCCAGTTCTTGTACCTTATATGTTAGTTTTTTTTTTACGAACCTCTGCACAAAAACTTAACAATAAAAAAGCATAAATAAGAGTTATATTTTGATGCTTGACAACCTTTCCAGAGTCCCGGTGCATCCTGCTACCCGTTGTGCTCCGAGTGCTTCACACCTGCCTACAGGAGCAGAGAGATCTGGTCATGTGTGCACGCATCTTCACCAGCATGCTGTCCCTCATTAAGAAGGAGGAAAACGGAACTGTGGTGAGTATAAAAATGTTTAACTCTCATGACCAAATGGTGCAATAATGCTGTCTGCGCTGCACAGGTGCTACAGAGTTAAGTGTCAATCAAGCACAATTTACAGTCGTGATTTAAGACAACTGCAGTTGATTTTGCAGCTGTAAGATTGATTCAAGTGGACTCCTTGGCAAAACATTCCCCAAGCAGACTGCTTTATTTGTTGTGCACTGTCAATTAGTGGTGGTAACATGAACATTGGCAGGTGTGCAGCTCACTAATGAGGCTGGTCAATTTAGCAATGGGGCTGTTGAAATGACTTTGAGCTTTTCCATCTGTCTGATTGGTCTGTATGTGTGTGTGTGTGTGTGTGTGTGTGTGTGTGTGTGTGTGTGTGTGTGTGTGGTTTTGTGAATTGCACCTTTTCCTGCCAGAAGGGCATTTAATGGTAAAGACTCCTAGAAGGACAGACGCTGCACAGATTGGCAACACATTTAAAGGGCGTTGAGAGTGTAGGTAGCCAATGCGTTAGTGAGACTTCTTCTCATTATCGGTCCAAAACTGTCTGTCCTGTTAGGCAGAGAGAGAGAGGACAAAAGGGGGGTGAGCAGACACAAGTCTTTCTCTAGTTTTCCCCCCTCTGTTTATTACATTGCAATTCACTATTAGCTCTTTTATGAGCTTTATTCTATTTTTAAAACCTAGTTAAAGATGCATTTATATCCAGCCTTTCACAGTTATGGTGATAAAGATGTACAGTAAGTAAATATGTATAAAAATAATTTATGATTATGATTGCTTAAAAAAGTTAAATATATAATTTTCGGTAATTCCTATTCAAAAAACCCAACAAGTGAATCGATGCCAAATCTGATGTAGTCTCACATCTAAAAGTATGATTGTCTCTTCTAAGGGGAAATGAGTCAAAGCTACAATTGATTTATTGGAAAGATGGAACCTAACTTTCTTCCGCTTCCAAAAGATCAACACCAATCTCTTCTGACCCATCTTATAAAATAACTTTATTTTTTCAATGTGTAATAGCTTTTATGTGAACTTAAAGTCAGACTGCCAAAAGGTGCTTGTTTCATCCATAGCTGCAATCACTGATCAATGATCTATGACTGACAGTACATTTCATGACACAGCCTAATTTATTTTAGCTAATCTAAAAATCGGGAAACATTGTATAAAAAGCACTTTCATTAAGTGCAACATGTGTTGATCTTTTCGTATTTTGAGTATATAAAATGAAAATAAGAATATTTTTAATATGCTGCCACTATTGTTGGGAACAGAAAAATAAAGGTGCATGAGTTATTAATTTGATTTGATTAGTTCTTAACCTTTTATATAAATTTAAAAAATAAATTGTTGATATTAATAAGCATTTGGATGACACTAAATTAAAACTATCACTTTTTTTCTTTTTTTGTTTTACAACAGAGGAAAAATTATAAATGTGAAGGAAAATGTCACTATTGGTTTCCTCAATATTTAATAGTTTAAAGTTATAGAGAAGCATTTTGCTTCATTGGGTCATTTTAATGCATGCTGCTCATGTTGCGAGTCAAAATAGAATCAAATAACAACCTTCAGTCTTACCAGTTTTGAATTGTTTAAGATGATTGTTGCTGGTTGGAAAAAAAGTTATAAGTGATCAGTTCATAGACAAGTTATAGAGCATGGAAAAATGTATGCAACTAGTCAGACATTAGCTAACAATGGTGCTAAGTTGCTTCAGAGCATATCGGTGCATTTAATGACCTACTTCCAGGATTTAATATGACTGAACCATTCTGGTTTGAAACCTGGCATACCTGGAGCGATTAAATCTGAGCTAAATAAATGCTCACTGTATTTTGGATGTATTAAAGGCAGCATGTTGCCCTGCAATAGACTGGTGATCTGTCCAAGGTGTACCCGCCTCTTGCCTATTGACAGCTGGAGTTAGGAACCAGCACCATTTGCGACCACAGCCGGAATAAGTGTTATGGATGGATGGACAGATGGATGGATAAAGGCAGCATTTTCAACACCTTTCAAACATTAGATTGTCATGAACCGAGGACAGATGAACCCAGTATTCAAGGAGAGACAGTCAGTAGGAAAGTTCAAAAAGGTTTATTAAATTAACAAAAACTAAAGTGGAGCTGTGGCTCGCGGACACTGCAGGATGGGGAGTGGGGCACCGGCCAATCACAGGACTCTGGTTTAACAGTCCAGTCCTAGAATGTCCCCAAGTGCTGCAGTCCCAGAGGACATGCTGGAAGCCGATCCTGGTCAGGGATCCAGAACAGACAGGTACAGGATCCAGATCAAGCAGGAACAGAAACAGGTGGCAGGATTCAGACTGTCAGGCATCCACAGGCTCCCAGGAGGGTTCAGAGTCTGACAGGGTCCGAAAGCGTGACCAGGTGGTCACGGACAGGAGCAGACAGGATCAGGTGCAGATGAGCAGACTCAGTGGAAGAGGGTAGTCAAGACAGGACGTGGAACCAGAACTTGATGCAGGACTTAAAACTGGTTTCCTCCCTGGAGCCAGGCTTACTGAGATAAAAGCTGAACCTCCCCACATATAGAGCCAAAAACCCAGAGGACTCCGCAGGGGAGGAACAGTGGAAAATCAGGAAACGAGACAAACACTAAAACCCTCTTTCCACTGGCTTCCAGGATCCAGGGCATGAACCAAGGCAAAAACTGAACAGACAGACTAACAATAAGACAAGTAATGATCTGGCACTGAATGCTCAGGCTGAACTGAATATAAACAAGAGGAAACAGGTGAGAGGAATAAATTATAATTAAGGCAGGGAGTGAAAACGACAGGTGAAAGGAATGACTAATTAAGGGAGAGCAAACAGGCCAGATCATGACATAGATTCACCTTTAGATACAAAGAATAGAATATAAACATATGGACTACTCAATTTATATTTAACATTGTAGTTGATCAAAAAATAATAAAATCTAATTTTTAATCCATAACCTTTTTTTTATAAGACAGAGCAAATTTTCCTTAATCACTTTTAAAAATGAAAATGTAACATTCAGTTCAGACCAACGTATGTTAATCTTCTGAACTTGTTCAGATCTGCTATCAGAGCTCTTTTCAAACAGTTGGTATCATGACAAACAAAACTTAACAAAGACCTAATTTAATCTTGGCACCAAGTGCAACAGAGCATCTGCTATATGGCAGGTGAAAAAAGAACTCTGCAAACCGCACATAAAAAACATGATTTTCTTCATTTAAATATTATCACACACCGTTTTATTGTGACTTTGGCAGCTGAATATGGATACTCCCAAATGTCTTCCATCATTTATTGAGGAATATTTTTTTTCTCTGCTTTTTAGGAGCCTGCTGTGTCGGAGGAAGTGGAGCTCATAGTGGAAAGTCTCCTGGGAGTATTACTGAGAACTATCCTGGAAATCAGCAACCGGCCCCAACCTGCAGGACCCGCCATGAGACTGCAGTTTCAGGATGTCACTGTACGTGTGTGTGTGTGTGTGTGTGTGTGTGTGTGTGTGTGTGTGTGTGTTTGCGCCAAAATTGGGTTGGGAATGTGCAGAATCGTCAAGCCTAATTAGAGATTTTAAATTGAGTTTCACCAGTGGCAACTATCACTCCTCTATGATTATTAAAATTGGAGGCAGTAATTAAAATTTATCATGCAAGCACAGATGGGGAATAGTGACGTGGATAATATTAACATCAACATTAATACTGAGAGATAATGGGAACTGACTAAGGTGAAATAATTTCCTCTTATTTAAGACATTAATCACATTGGATTCCTTCTTGTAGGCTTTTATCTAGACGTCTTATCTGAAAAGTGTAAAGGATAAAGTAGTTATTAAAACTTTGCTTTAGCTTAAGTGGGTACGGTGGAAGTACTTCAAAATCTGTAATGATGTTAAAAATCTGATTGTCTAATGTCTATATCTCAAATTAACTCAGCAGTTTCTGGCTCTTTTAATTTTACTTACACTAAAACTAATGTTTGTTTTTTCTTTTTGCATTTATTCTGTCAGGGTGAGTTTGTGGCGTGTTTGTTGGCGCTCCTGCGACACATGAGTGACAAACACTATCAGAAGCTGCTGCAGGCATTCAGCAGCAAAGACGACCTGAGGGTAAGATACTTGTTCCTGTGTTTTCTTTACTGTACCTGAATGTTTTTGGGAAAACTGCTCTCATTTATCCATCCAAAAAAATCAGAAATGCAATTAAAACTCAATGCAACTTAGTTGTGTGTTTTTGTCTTATTTGAATATATATATATATATATATATATATATATATATATAGTGTTTTGTTTTTTTTTGTATATATTTTTAAAAGTCATCAGTGGAGGAGAAAGCTTTTTTGTCCGACAGTGAGCACAATAATTAGTTTATAATGGGACTGGACCAGGATGAAGATTAATGCAACGTTATTTGGGGAAAAAAAACAGCAAATAGTTTATCTGAATATGTTAACTTCCTGTAAGTGTTGCCTGACCACATGTTGTTGTGTTCATGTTGCAGGACTTCCTGCTTCATATCTTCACAGTCTTCAGAATCCTAATCAGACCCGAAATGTTTCCCAAAGACTGGACGGTGATGCGACTCGTCACAAACAAGTAAGACATTCAACAACAAAACATTTAAATCTGAGATTACAGCAAGATTTCCAATCTACCTTTTTACCTTTCTTGTTTTTTCTTTCTTTTTGATAATTAGCATAATAGGTATTCTGTTGTCATTTATACTTTCTGTTGTTCTTTTTCTTTCAGCGTCATCATCACAACCGTCCTCTACCTTTCAGATGCGCTGAGGAAAAACTTCCTCAATGACAAGTTTGATTACAAGGTATGACTTTTTGAATCTTTTGGAGCATAACTAAAAGATTATTAAAGGATTTAATTCTCTTAATTATTTATTGATCAGTAATAGTAAATAGAACTAAAACAGATCAGACTATAGAAATAAAATGTTAAAATTCATGAAAATCAAACATATCAAAGGAGAGCTGGATTTGTCATGTTTTTCAGGTTTGGGACTCGTATTTCTACCTGTCTGTCATATTCATCAACCAGCCTTGTCTTCAGCTTGAATCCTTCTCGCCATCCAAGAGGAAGAAGATTCTGGAAAAGTGAGTGCTATCTATTGCTCACCAACACTAACTTCTGAAAATTATAGACATTCAATCTGTATTGCAAGTCCGTAGAATATTTTGCATGTCACTAACATGCATTTTGGATAATGTTAAATAATTTGTCATGCAGATACGGAGACATGCGTGTAATGATGGGCTGTGAGATCTTCAGCATGTGGCAGAATTTAGGTAACTGTCCAAAGTGCTTAGATTATTGCTTACAAGGATTACAACCTCATGAAAAATGTGTCTATACTGTAACGTAATAAACCAAAACTATTTATTACATATTTACATTTTAAGATAAACCTTTAATTGTAGATGTACACAATTTGAGCAGCTAATGATAATTTTGCTAATCGATTAACCTGTTGATTATTTTTTCGGTTAATCGATTGATAATCGGATTGCGAACGATTCCTTAAAGATTTTTTACAGAATGAAACCAGGTAAAGCTAAAACTTTTCCTCTTGTGGAGTTCTGGATAGAGCATATTGGCAAAAAAGAAAGTGAATATTTAAATATTACTTTAACAATTTTGGTATAATTAATGCTCTGAGTGGGTTCCTTTTTCAGCTAAAAGAAAGTATTTAGTGGAGTATACTCCAGATAAAGATTTATTGTTTACTAAATTAGTTAGTGATCATTTCAATAATCAATTAATCCGAGTCATTGTTTCAGTCCTAGTTTCAAATAATTTCTAATGTGTCACAGGTGTGTTTGAATAAATAAAACCATCATTTAAAGGATATTTTATTTTGGTAATTTTGATGATTATTGGTTAAAGAAAATGTAAACTGCGTGGTCATGCTTTGGCGTAAATATTCCAATATCTTTGCTAAAGAAGCTAGTTTTCAGGGTGCTTTATCCAAGCAGGATATTACAGCCTAGCAGAGGAAAAAGGGGCTTTAAAAAGTTATCCAGGTAGATTTTTATTTTTATTTATTGTAAGACATATTCATTGAAGTTAACAGAAAAAATCTTAGATTATAACACTGTGAAAAGGAGCTAATTTTTAAAGATTGCTATATAGTATTTAACAAGCAGCAATGTATGATAATATGAGCCTAAATTAAATCTTTAAAAATTAACATGGTACCACAATTAGATGTAACATTAAAAAAAAAAGAAAGAAAGAAAAAGAGGACCTGATGAAGCAAATTCTTTGAGAAGTTTTACAGTCCATAACCAACAAAGAGGAGCTTCTCACAGTAAAACCTCAGGGTTGATTTCAAGTCCAACGGTTCATCAGTAAATTGAAAGTCTAACCTTTGGTTTGAACCTTGTCTTGGATCCAGGGGAACACAAGTTGAACTTTATCCCGGCCATGATTGGGCCGTTCCTGGAAGTGACCCTGGTCCCTCAACCTGATCTAAGGAATGTCATGATCCCAATCTTCCATGACATGATGGACTGGGAGCAGAGGCGCAGCGGCAATTTTAAACAGGTGGGCCACTTTTAAAATTACATCAGGCGATAGTTTTCATCTTTACGCTTTAAAGGAGATGATAGCAGCTGTTTGAGTTGATAAAAAGTCAAGTTTTTACTCCAGACATTCAGCGTCTTGTTGTTTAGCAGAAATGTTTTTTTTTTTTTGTTTTTTTTTAAGGCTTTTGCTTCACATTCAATTTCACATATTTTCCCTCCAAACAAAAACATGTTGGGTTTTCTCTTGGAACAGCCTCTAAGTAAACTGTAAGCCTTCATTTATTTGCAGAGGAGTTGTTTTTTCAGCCGATTAACTCCAAGTTGTACTAAAGCAATCTAAGTGAAAGTGACTTTATTTCATGATGAATTATACACAATACTTTGGCTGCTTTAATGCATTAGCAGTCCTTTTGTGTTTTTTCTGTTTAAAAATAGATTCTCCTTCATGGTGGAAATCAGTGATTCCCAACTAGAGGTACTCATACCCTTAGTGGTCCGCAAGTGCATTGCAAGGGGTACATGAAAATACTTTATTTGTTCGTAAAATAAAATAGGGCTGGGAGCTGATCTGCTTTGAGAGGACCCAATTGAAAATTTAAACAAGCTTTTATCATCCAAAAAGTAAGTTTTTCTTATATGTTTGAGTTCAACCTTCAGCTTTGACACACTTAAAAACCAAGCAGGGGAACATACTGGATGTAGAGAACAGCCTGGGATCAGCTGTTTTTCACTCTGAGCTATCAGAGCTCATCAAAGCAGCTCAGGTGTCTTGATGAAAACGAAACTAATTAAATAATTTTGACTATAATTTTTGTTCAGTATTTTGTTTGCATTTCATTAAAATGTAACTATAAGGTAGTCACTCAGAGGAAGTCCAGTTTTACAAATACTGGTTTATAGTATGGTTTTATTTTGCATTCATTTCCATTCCCTACTAACTTCCAGGCAACATATTGATGTTGTTTTTACTTGAGACGGAATGAATAAAATGCCTAAGAATTAAATGCTTAAATTAAATTATTAATAGTCATTTTTTTAAATCAGTGATTGTATGTTTCACACTTGGACAATTATCAATACTTTTGACTGAGAGGGGTACTCATGGTAAGAAAAAATGCCCAAAGAGGTACACAAGTCAAAAAGTTGGGAAACACTGGTGCAAGTTAACAAACATTTTAGAATTTACTATGTTACATAACATGTAGAAAGTAAAAAAAAATATATATATATAAAAAAGAGCCTCATCTATAAACTGTTCAGCTTTCTGAAAGGCGCATGTGGCTCAAAATAAGCAGGGTGAGTGTAGATTAATATGATTTCATGCAAAGCTCAGGTTGCATCTATGCAGAAATTAAAGTCAAAAACGACTCAAAGACAAAGAAACGCTGCTGCTTTTAATATGCAAGTTATGATGCAAATCAGTCATTGGTTCAGAGCTTGAAAACCTCAGAGTCTGACTTCTATCCAGTCATTTTATTAAAGTTGCTCTGTCCCCCTCACAGGTGGAGGCCAAGCTGATTGATAAACTGGACAGTCTGATGTCTGAGGGTAAAGGAGACGAAACGTACAGGGAGCTCTTCAACAGCATGTGAGTTAATAAAAGATTGAGAGAACCCAGACAGGGTTGAATAATAAAGAACCTTTTTTGCATGGAAACCTTTTAAAGTCAGAGTAGAGACAAAACAGAGAAGCTCTGTTTGAAATTCTATTAATAGTCAATTTCAAGATTAGTATTAAGAAATCATTGATGAGGAGTTTTACATTTGGAGCAGTGAAGATCAAGTAGATTAGTTACATGATGAGGTAAGTAGTGAATCTTCTCCCTCGGTGTTGTCACTGTGATCTTCACTCACACTACATCTATCCATGGGCCTTGTTCCTATCTGTCCTTTTCTTTGCAGATTTTATTTTGCATCTGCTTAATGTTTGTTTGTTTGCTTGTGTGTATTTGTTTCCTACGTTTATCATTTGTTTTTATTCTTCTTGTTGCCCTTCATTGTGGGCTTATAGTTGGAATATATTGTTAAATCACTCCTGTTTAAAATTGAAATAATCCAGCTTCATTTGCATAACAATTGTCTCCTCACTTTCACAAACAGGACTTACAAAAGTATTCCCACCCCTTGAACTAGGTCTAATTGTTGTATCGCTAGAGCCAGAACTACAGCTCAATGGGATTTTAAGCAATAGCAAGAAAGCTGTGCCCAGCTACTTTACTTAAGGAAGAGCTTAAATAATTTATAGAGAACTTTTGCAAATAAAACTACGGACTGTGCATGATGCATGCATGCAGGTCCCTGTGGTAATTCATTGAACCTCCTCCTTTTGCAGTTAGTTGACAGTCTTTATGGGTGTGTCTACCAGCTGGCCACATCTAAAGACAAACAAAATCTAATTTATTGTTCTCTTCAAAACATCTTAAGGCCAATAATATTTAAGTCATACCAGACATCACTATTGGATTTAGGTCAAGACGGCCTCGTGAGGGAGTGGCGGCCTAGTGGTTAGGGCATAGGGCTTTGAATCCTGAGGTTGTGAGTTGAATTCTCCACTCCTAAAGACTGCCACTCTGGGTCCCTGAGCAAGACCCTTAACCCCACACTGCTCCCCGGGCGCTGTACAATGGCAGCCCTTTGCTCCCCAAGGGGATGGGTTAAATGCAGAGTTATTATTATTATTATTATAAGTTATTATTATTGTAAGTTCTGATCATTTTTTCTGTTTCCCCTGTGTGGCTGTTTGAAAGGAAAATTTCTTATGGCTTTCTAAAAAAAAATTATGACTTTCATATTGCCTTACCTACAGAAATGTGTGGACTAAACCATCTAATGGTGGCACCGCTGCATAATGCTCTCCTCACTTAGCTAGTTTGCTTCATTTCAACAACAAAAATCCTGTTTTTATGCTAAGACTAAATCACATGTATTACATCATGGACTCAGTAAATCCGCTTGTGGGAAGTCGTTCCTTGGGTTTTAATTCTCCATCTTATTGTTAAATTTCTATTTTAGGATAATAATTTAAAAACATTTATTACTTAGTTTCTTCCTCCCTCCTGTATCATGGGAGCTTTTTTTCTGCAGGGTCAGGGACCCCACAGGTGTCCATACCCAAAATCCCACAAAAAAAACCTTGAGGATTGCAGTCAGAGCCTGCCAAAATGTCTAAAAGTTTAAAATATATGAATACTTTTGTAAGATACTGTAGGTGGGAATCAAACTGTGATGTTTTTGTTGTAAATCATTCACATTCCCATAACTGATACACATATGAGAACAGACTGTATCTAGATCACCAAATACTGATGCAGATTAATGTCTATATGTATCTGTGTACATATGCAATAGAAGAAATTTTGTTCATAATCTGATTTTATTATTATTATCATCGTTGTATTATTGTTTCTAGTCTTTAACTTTTTGCTTTTACTGTTTAAATTGCAATAGATTGATTTTCTATCATTTCTGCATATTTTAGTTCTATTTTGTTCTCCTATAATTGTCCCACCTGCTGACTTTATCCACCCCGTAAGCTGAGCTGTCTAAGTTTGTGCTGATTTTAATCATGTTAATATTAATTTATTCCGCCTATGCTTCCCGCCTGGAGTAGAATTCCTCTGTTTGGTCCGTACCCTAGGTAAGATGCTCTCCTCTTTGGTCTCTGTGTCGTCTTTGTGAAAGGAAACAGGGGAAACGATTGGTCGGACCCAGAAAGAGCTCTAGTGTGTGTGTTCTAACTTTCCATCAAACCAGCCAGTTCTTATAATCGATATTTTGCTTGATTTTATATTATAACTCCAGCAGGCGAGCCTACAAGCATAGGTGATCCTTGCATGACTGAGATTAATTTCCTCCTTGCTTTGTGCCATCTTTTTTCTTCAGTAATTTCTTCCATTGCTGCTTGTGTTCCCATTCCACCTCTTTCTCTCTCGTCTTTTCAGATATTGACGTTCTCTCTGTCTTGTTCTTGTCTCTCTTCATTTGTCCTGTAGCCTGCTGAAGAAGATTGAGAGGGAGACGTGGAGGGAGAGCGGGATCTCTCTGATTGCAACCGTCACTCGTCTGATGGAAAGGCTGCTGGACTACAGGTCAAAGATCACACACACACTCACTCACACTTGTCTTCTGAGATGCATGAGGCTGTCTGCTTCAGTTCCCATGACAATTAGTTTTATATATTTGTATTTCATCCCCAGGGATTGTATGAAGTTGGGGGAAGTTGATGGTAAAAAGATTGGTTGCACTGTCAGCTTACTGGTAAGTTTATAGCATGCTCTTTCCTTAAACAGATTATTTTTCTTTAGCTTGCACTCATCTAAACATCCGGTTGATATATGAACATTATTGTAAGATATGCCCTTAAGCAGTTGGATTTCAACTTTAAAAAAGACAAGATCACAAAAATGGAGCAGCAATTTAAATTACATTATTGGTTTCAAGAGAAACAACAAATAATTGACTGACCTTATCAGTATCATACAGCCTCTGTCATGTCCTTTACTCAGAAAATTCAGAATTGGCTAACAATAAGTTGGTGGCATAAAGTTAACAAACAGATTGTTTACACAAGCAAAAGCTAACAGGGGTTCTACACATACTGATCAATGTAACGTTATACCAGGTGTTTTTGGAACTACCATGGCCGTTTTTCAATTCACTAGAATGCGAGTACGGACTCTTGTCCTCGCCAAGTATGTTCTTGAGAAGAACACAGGAAAGTATGGACTTGGTGAGAACGGGAGTACGCAGCATAAATATGGGTCAATTGGAACAGAAGCGTACTGATGACGTCACCATATGCCCGGCTCGTCTAGAGCTGCATTTCACCTCCTGTTATTAATAGTCTATGGATAATAATAAATTATTATTATTTTTTATTTAGTGGGGGAATAATAATTAACAGTCAGATAAACACAAATCAAATGAACATTTTGCCAAATAAAGCAAAAAATTCGGCATCAGAGCCAACGGTCCTTAACACACGGCTATGCCGAGAGAGGGCTGCGGTTAGCCCTGGCTGCCGTTACCCTCGGAGGTCTGCTGGTCCTCTCAACTTCAGAATTTTTTTTAAATTATGCCTTAAGTTGGTAAATGGACCGTATAGTGACGCTTTAAAGTATAATATTCTCGCATCAAATGATCTTAAAAGATACTTTTATTAAACAATATCAACAGAAATGAGAACTTTTAACTTTTAGTGGAGCGCTCCGTTGAAAGCTGCTGCAGTGCATGCTGGAACAGCTATTAATCTCAAGAATGGACAAGTCTGCTCTGATGCATGCTGGGTAAATAGCGAGGGGTGAGAACAACATCCGGGGACTTTGTCTGTTCTCAGTCTTCGCGTTCTTGTGAATTGGAACTGTACTAGGGCTGAGGGTGATGACGTTTCTAGATTACTGAGCACATGAGAACGCACAAGTACACATATTGAGATACTGACCATGTATATGAATGAGAGTTCAGAATTGTCCCACAGGTTTGTCCCTTCTTTATTTCAGCAGTACAGCCTTATTATCTTTTTAAAAAAGGCTACTGAAATTTCTTTTTAAAACCTGGTTTCATTCAACACTGTTTTCATAAACGTAGTTAAATCTCCTGCTGTTGTTCTTCTGCCATTTGCTAAAGGCTAACACAAGCATGTCTACGCTCTGTTTTGATACGACTCTTTGAAAATTCCACCACTAATGTGTCTCAGTTCAATCCCACTACTGCAGCCGATTAAAAATAAAATATTTTATAACCTTTAATGATTTGTATTTCAACTGTTATAGTGTTACGCCAATTGTTATCTTTAGAGCAGGTCACATGACTTATCCAGACAAGGAGCCACAGGACAAGTCATTCTCATTGATCTTCATTATAAAGGATGGGAAATGACTCATTAATTACAATTAGAATGTAAATCTTAATAGCAATACAAACCATAAAACACATGTTATAGGATCATTTTCAAAATATAATTTATTCTTTTTTTTTCAAAAAAGAATATATTAATATAATATGAAGACAATGTACTCTTTCATGTGCAAAGTGGTTCTGGTTTGTTCCTTTATGCATTGAAATTTTTGCTGAAATTCATGTAACTAAATACATCCTATGGGTGTGTGGGTGAATGTTTTTTGTGATTATGCATCTGATATGTCTTATCTTTTTTTATTATTATTTTTGTGCTTATTTCCAACTTTAAATTGATTATTTCAATTGCCTTTCTCCCATTTTCCTTCCATCTTTTTTTGCATCCCTTTCAACTCAATCACCTGTCTGCAGAACTTCTACAAAACTGAACTCAACAAGGAGGAAATGTACATCCGCTACATCCACAAACTATATGAACTCCACCTAAAAGCTCAAAACTACACAGGTACTCCCTTCAAAGAGAGGTTGTCTTTTTTATGCTATGCATCTGGTTCTTCATCCTTCATTATCTTAGTGTTCATACTCTTTGAACCTTTCTATGTTTTGGCACATTTTTAGCACAAATATGTTTTATTGAGATTTTATGTGTTATCATTCTGAAGAATTTTTCCCCGAATAAGATAGAAAAACTGTGGCAAAATATATACATAGATACATCAACCTACATAAATACATAAATGTCCTCATGTAGAAACATGGTGGCATCATCATAATGTGTGCATAATGTGGATTCAGCAAATATAGGGATGCTGGTCAGAGGCACTACTGATATAAGACAAGCTGCAAAAAACTTTTTTTCTATCAAGCTGTACTTCCGGTCAGTGTATGTGTCCATCAGAATATGTCCCAAAATGCATTTGCATTTCAAAATCTGGCAATGTTTGTTGGAAGAAAAGGATAAGGCTCGATCTCCAGCAAGACTAATTAAGCGATCGGTCTCCAACAACAATAGAATAAGTCTCTATATTTGCAGCTAGTCCCATTTAAAAAAAAAAAAAAAAAGAGTTGTTAGAGTTAGCAAAACTTGCTAGATCATTTGGTCAGAATTTGAAAACACTATTGATTCCCAATTTGAGTAATTCTGTAAGAAAACCTGTTAGAAGCCTTATATGGCTTTTATGCTTGAGGTCCAAGTTGCTAAATTATGCCATTTTAACTCCCATGCCTTGAGGCTCGGCATCCACACGGACAGAATTTCCACTCCATGGACCTAGGACAATTTTTTTTTTTACATTTTCTTAAAAACATCATTGACGAGTACCAGATCCTGCCGACTAGGTTTTGCAAATATAAACTTCTAAAGACATCTTGTGAAATCTACTGTCATGAAGAGGCTTTTAAAAAGCTGGCAACAGCTGTGTATTCAATTTCATTGTATAATGCAGCCTGTCCAGGAGCTGGCCAGAATATTAGGTACAAGAGGAAAAGCTGCATGGAGTATGAAAGTTGCAGACGTCATGTCTGCGTACGTCCTTCAGGCATAACTGAGCCTTGAGGCTTGCATTTTAGCCTAATTTGCCATTCCAACAGAACATCAAATAATAACATAAAATACCAGTAAAATTAGTGAGAATTTGGTTCCAACATCACAAAGTTAAAGATGTGTAGATGCATCTGAGAAGCTTTTTTATTGTCATCAAATTGTTCTTTTGCTCAAAATCTCCAATCTGAACAGTTGCTATTGTGTTTATTTTGCAGAGGCTTCCTACACCCTGCTGCTGTATGACGAGTTACTTGAGTGGTCAGACAGGCCGCTCAGAGAGTTCCTTAACTACCCCATGCAGAGTGAGTGGCAGAGAAAGGAGTTCCTGCATCTCACCATCATTCAGAACTTCGACAGGGGAAAGGTGAGCCAACACACAACATGATCTAGGTTTCTCCGTATGTACGTATAAAACATTACTGTTCATTTTATGCTGCTTTTTTCTCTCATTTTTGCTGAATACAGCAACTGTTCCACAGTTAAGCAGGTTTTATTGTTATTCTGATGCTATTGCTTGCAAATGCTCACTTCTGGCTGAGACATATGATTGGAAATGTCAACATCCCATATGAATTGAGAGAGTTTTTCAAACTGCTCCTCTTTTCACTAATAGTCCACATTTCCCTTCCATTCAGCGGCTTCACCATCTGCTGGTACGACAGCGCAGGGGCCAGGAGGCAGCAGGAAACAAAAGCCTTCTGTTTAATTAGCAATTCTGCTGTGCTCTGCACCAGTACCTGTCTGTGGACAGGATGCATTTGGTTTTTGATTGTTGATAGCTCAATAGTGCCATCAAGTGGTTTGATTGCTACCCTACATACCAAGTTTACTTTTCTCATGTTTTTTTTCTGATGTTTTTCCTGTTTTCTTTCTTTGTGAATCGCCAGTGTTGGGAGAATGGCATCATCCTGTGCAGGGAGCTTGCAGATCAGTACGAGTCGTACTACGACTATAGGAACTTGAGCAAAATGAGGGTAAGCTGTGAGAGCAGCGGGTAGAACTTTTCACTATTTCGTTTCAAAAGAAAGAAACAAATACTGTGAATTATTATTTTTTTTAATATTGTTTTATTTATTTTGTTAGATGAGGGAAGCATCCCTGTATGACAAAATAATGGACCAGCAAAGATTAGAGCCGGAATTCTTCAGAGTTGGCTTCTATGGAAAGAAGTTCCCTTTCTTCTTACGGGTAAAAAAAAAAAAAGATTTACATATTCTCTATATTGTCTTTTTTTGTAACATGTTCTCCCTCTGCAAAATTGAAATACACCTGCAGAGAGAATTAACATTGTCTTACATAAGACTCTTTCAGCGTAAAGGTGACATTCAGCAAATTTTATTCTGCACCATTTAATGATGTAACAGGCACCATCCTTGTTGGAGTCTGTAGTTGCATGCTACAGCCACTAGATGTCAATCTAACCCTGTGTTGGCCTTTTCCCTTACATTCGCCCCCTTCTGCTGCAGAATAAAGAGTTTGTGTGTCGCGGCCATGACTACGAGAGGCTGGAGGCTTTCCAGCAGCGGATGCTCAATGAGTTTCCCCACGCCATCGCCATGCAGCACGTCAACCAGCCGGACCAGACCATATACCAGGCTGATGCACAGTGTATCCTGAGCAATACATATTCAAACCATGCAATAGACTCCTGATAGCACAATGCACAGGCACCTTTGCATTTTGTGTATCTATAACCGCCCATAATAAGCTATGACTTGCCATATATTGCTGTTTGTTTTGCAATCATAATCAAAGACCATTGACATGCAAAAGCAGACAAGGAAGGGGTACAGTACTACATAGTTTATGCTGTATGCCAAATTTGCAATGATGCACACTGTGGTGGGGAATCCATTTTGAAAATAAGCCCTGGAGCTTGTTTCTCAAAGAGAGTAACATTAGTTTTTACTAGATTATGGGAAAACTCTTTCTAGTGATGCTGTTTTTTACCAAAAACTAGCAAACAGGAATAATCTGCTATTTGGTTAGTCAAAGGAAACAGTATAAAATGAATCATCTTGATCTAATCTTGAAAAAAATAAGGTTAAAAGGAAGGATTTTCCGAAACCTAAGCAAACAACCCCTCTATAAATCCCTTAAGTAGCAACAGGAAAGCATGCTTCCCCTCTAAGCATTGTTTAAATTCATAAATACAACATGCTGGCCTTGTTAATAATTCACACAAATGTATGGGACAAGTGTTGGCCTACATAAAAGTACTGAAACAAAACACAGACTGCAGGGATAAGAAATACAGCACTTTTTACCTTCATCAGAAACATATTTATAGGCTGTATGTTTGTATGTTACTACAAATAGGCAATATTGGCATCCATGCATATGTGCACCTAAATATATATTTGCACATGGTATGTGTGCTCAAGTGAAAGTTATTTGCACTTGTGAACATGTGAAATTTATTTGCATATATTCTAATCTAAATGTGTTCATGTGAATTTTAAGCATCCACATGTAAATTGTCAGGATCAGGATGCATTCATGCAGTGTCTGTGAAGATGTTCATTCGAAGAGTAAACATGGGAAAAAAATTATATATATTTGTGGCTTTTTTGAGCTGGGGGCAGTTACATGGGAACTAGACATTGATGGGGATTTTTTACATCCTCACTGGTTTATTTCACATCAGGGCAATCAATAGCATCTCTGTCAGATTGTTCAGCCATTCGTGTATCCTGGATTCAAACTCTAAGGAACTCAAATCATGTACATCAGCTGTCCTTCCTATTATAAAGCTGCACATCAGGTTGTGTATTTCCTAAATGATGGTTAGACTGGGCCATGCTTTGGTAAGCCTTAGACATCTTATGTTAACCAAGCTTTAGTTTCCCACCATGTTCCTGTGCACAATGCACTTAACAATACTTATGTATGTGAATGTGTCTCCATCTGCCTCTCAGCCTCAGGTTCCCGTATTCTTTCAGATCTTTGAAAAAATTGTGGTCCATTTCAGCCCCGCAGCACTTTTCATACGTTGCTCTCTTGTACTTTCCTTGACCTGCGGGGGGGCGGGCCCTTTCAGACCTGCAAATATACGCTGTAACTCCCATTCCAGAGAGCCAAGACGTGCTACAGCGAGACGGGGTGCCGGACAACATCAAAAGCTTCTACAAGTTTAATCACATCTGGAGGTTCAGATACGACCGGCCTTTTCACAAGGGCACCAAAGACAAGGAGAACGAGTTTAAGGTAGACATAAAGTAGATTTCTGCAAAAAGGCATGTGGGGGGAATAAAAGGCTGGTTTGAATGTGAGTGGAGAAACTCTAAAATAGTCCATGGTGTGAAGTCAGAGAATAAAACTCCAGTAATTCTATCGGCACCTTCTCCTACAGAGCCAGTTGAAACAGCCTTATTGACATCTTGCATGACCTCGCTCCTCCATCATGCAGCATGTAGGCAGCAGTAGGTTCTGCTCAGGTATTAGTATGTGTATATAGTGCATGTTTTATTCATCGGGAAAGCGGCATCAGTAATTATACACAGAAACCCAGGCAGTAGTCAGAGCCGCGTAAAGGCTTGAGCACAGATGAAGCCTTCTCAGGCTGATTTGATCCTGCAGCTGCACACACTTTGAGACGCCCAGCAACACAGTGCACAATATTACTCTCATAAATATTCAGCTTTTATTGCACACAAGCTTCATGCCGTTTTCTCATCACTTCCATCAAGGTTACTTGGCTAAATTTAATCACAGTATCGCATTTTCATTTAGGCCGGATGTCTCTGGCCTTGAAGTAGAAATAGCGTGCAATAAACATTAATGTTGAGACTAGAGCCCACGGAGGGTGAGGTAATGTATGATTATTGTATGATGGGCACAAATGAAAAAGTCATCAAACGACACCCTAAAAATATATATTTTCTTTTCTTGGGAAAGCATAGACTTTGTATCTATGCCAGAATTTTCTCTCAACTTCCTGCTTTTTTTTTTGCCTTTTTTTTTACCTCCTGCAAGTTATGTTCAGGTGGGTTTCTTGGCCTTTAAAGGAATAAAATCAATAAAGGGCAGCAGGGTTGTGTAGTGAGTCGGAAGATCCTCCTTCAGTGTGAGGACACTGGATCGATGTTGCATATCGGCTCTCAGCCGCTCTTTTGGGGGGTCCTGAAAAAAAGACACTGTAAACAAATCAGCCAATCCTGTATCTCAACATTGATTCCAATTGGTGTTTAAAGCATTTTTAGCCAAAAAAAAAACAGCACTGCTTTTAAATAAAAAAGGGGAGACATTGCAACAGATTGATGCCAATATATTTAATGCGCTTTTCCTCCTCATGTCTGCTTTTCTTCTGTATTGCTTGTGGCCAACTGCAATGTAGACTAGTGGTTATCAGCCTTGTTTGACTTGTGTACCCCCTTGGCCCCCTTGGTTAGATGTTATTTTCCAAAAATAGAAAGTACAACTGATTATAAAATAAAATAAAAAAATAATTTCCTTCACTTTAAAATTTAATGCTCAGACATTTCATGAAAGAAAGTGACTGAATTTACTGAAATAAGTATAAAATCAAATTAAGTTACAAATCTACAGTTTTTAACAAAAAAACTGAGCATTTCCGAATAAGTTCCCTATACAGACATCTAAACTTGACAAATCAGGAAATAACTGAGTAATATTTGGATTCACTATCTTTTTTACTTTGCTTTCATCATTCAATGTGTTAATGAAACTTCTGGCCTTCTCCTGAAACCCCAGTAGTGGGATGTTGTTTGTCTCCATGAAAAATTGTATTGATTTTTTTTTTTTTTTCAATCAAAGTAAAAATAAAAAAAAATATTGACAATTTTTTTTTTTTTTATAAAAATTTTTGGTTGATAAAATCTTGGTTTATTTTGCATTTGGGTCCTTATAGAGCAAAACCCATCCCAGCCCAACCCCAGGTTGGAAATCACTGATCTAGACAATTTTATTGCTTTCTTTCAACAAATCTTTATTCCTCCATCATTCTGGCCAGATTAGTGGAGGACACAACTCCAGTTGTTGCACTGACATATACCCTACATCTCTACAGCTCCTTCAATGGCAAGGAAATAAAGATGTTTATCTGATAGGCCGTTCAGTTGAATTGGAACCGACCAGAACAGTTGGATTTATACCCAAATTAAATCACCCTGTTTTAATTAGCTTACTGCTAAAGGTAGTTGATTGTACTTTTCTTGATTTAAGACTATGAAAATAAAGAAGTATAAATACTGAACACATAATTAACACAATATTTTTTTGGTTGCATATCAATAAAAATGCCATGGGTAGAAATACTTGTGCAAGAAAGGAATGTGAGATTTTGAAAATATAATGGATGCAAACACTAGAGAGTTTTATGTGCCTCCTGTAAAAGGATAAACCTGGACAATGAATATCAAGCAGCTTTCCATTCCTGGGGTTTGTTGACATGCTTACATTGTAGTTAACTGTATCACGTCTGCAGCACTATAGGATGAATGTCTAACATTAGGAGCCTCCTGTAAATACTCGAGTTGCCGTAGTTTACATTCTGTCAGAGTGACCTTGCGAGACGCCGGTGTATTGACAAGTACCCAAGATGACTGTGTAAGCGCTGGAACGTGAATGATGGCATAAGAGATCAGACATGACGCCTTATCTGCATCCAAAGTGAACCTTTGGCAGCCTGCTCATCCTTAAGTTTGAGCTAAAGTGTAAGAAATTGAAAGCATCCGTGCATTAGGCGTGAGTGGGGATGGATTTTATTTTATTTTTATGATAAACACGATCTCATGAAAGTGTCTTGGGTTGTTTTTCTTTTTCTCAGAGCCTGTGGGTGGAGAGAACTACCCTGACTTTGGTTCAGAGTCTCCCAGGCATTTCCCGCTGGTTTGAAGTCGAGAAGAGGGAGCTGGTGAGTGTGAACACTCTTGATAAAATTACCTTGAAGACATAAAATCAAACACATCCGCCACACACAAGTACACTACAATTTTTGAAAGTTGCAATCCAAAGCTCAAGCAGTAACCAAGTAAACATTGGCTTCCTCAAGAAAACGCTGCAAATGTTTAGATTTCTTCCATTTTCACATTTTTTTCTTCAAAAAAATGGAATCCTCTTTTTTTCCTTCTTTTTAAATTCAGATCCCAAAGAGCTGGGTTGATATTTGAATACATTATTGTTTTCTGAATATGCAAAACAGGAAGCAGCATGTGTCTCTTAAGGTCTAAGCTCATATTCTTTAGTTCCAGCTGCTGAGCGTGGTGTGAAATTGTCTGAAAGGGAAGCCTGCATTACCCTGCGATGGTTTAACAGCACAAATGCATATGAAATAGGAAATTGGTGGAAGGATTAAGCTTTGTGAGAAAGTTGAAAATGGAGGATGAAAAGAAGAGCGTACACAAAAGTGACCAGGAGCGGAGTAATTGCTGCATGCGTACACTTGTTGAATAGACGTCAAGATAATTATCACCCACTTCTGAGCAGTGGAGAGCATTTTGATTTTTAGTTTTTCTTTTTGCGAAATGCTTTGAATTATTTTAGTTCACTACTCAAGTACAGAAAGAAAGAAAAAATGTTTCCTTAAGCAGAGCTCTGTTCATCTAATGGATTGAATATGTAGAATAACATTTCAAGATTGTTGTATTTTAATAAAGTTTTTGTTGTAGTTACAGCTCATTTTAAGAAAAAAATATATTTTACTGATTTTAATCATAACTGAACAAAATAAACACAAATAAACACTTTAATGCTAGGTAAGGAATTTGCGAAAGCGTCCACTATTTTAAGATTATAAAAAAAAAACTAATACCCAGCTGCCTATATAATATTGCTCATTAAATGCATACTTTCTAGGATTATTAAAAGGAAAAATGTGTTGGAGAATGTTTCAGAAACTTTAAAATGTGGAAGATACCGGCGCTTTTTTAGCTTCACCTGCTTGACGAGCATAGAAAATTTAAATAATTACCATCTAGAAATTTACTTTTTATCTCACAGGATTACATCAACTATGTTTTAGCATAGAAAATTTAAATAATTACCATCTAGAAATTTACTTTTTATCTCACAGGATTACATCAACTATGTTTTAGTTGAATCATAATGCACCTTTAATATGTTTTTAGTACTGCAAAAATCATTGATTTTAGGTTTTCCTTCCACTAAACTTTCCATGATTACCCTGTGAACAGCCAGCTTTGTTACCAAGGTGGCATCAATGGCTGTCTGCTGGGCAACAGTCAAGTCGTACTGTTAATTTTTCAAAACTTTGCATTGTTTTGTTTTGACTATCCAACACAGTTTGCAAACTAGTATTCATCTCATGGGATGGTGAAATTTAGTCATTTAATTGGCTGTAAGCCATACCCTTCAAAATGAACAAAATCACTGATTGTGTTAAATGTATGCTTGTTTTTATAAAAATATTCTTAAAATAAATAACCAGTTTATGAGGAGCTGTATGAAGAGGTGCATGCAGTGAGAAAATCTGTAACATCTGAAAAAATGTTTTTCTAACCTCCCTGATCACAGGTGGAGGTGAGCCCGTTGGAGAACGCCATCGAGGTGATAGAGAACAAGAACCTGCAGTTGCGCACGCTGATCGCCCAGTGTCAGAGCCGGCAGATGCAAAACATCAACCCCCTCACTATGTGCCTGAACGGGGTCATCGACGCCGCTGTCAACGGAGGCTTGGCCCGCTACCAAGAGGTACGAATGGCTCAGTCGTACTTTGTTGGGGGGGGTCAGAAAGCGAGGGTCGGGAAGCACTGACATATAGATTGCCTAATGATGTATGAAGGTGGGATGTATGCAGCAGAGGGGCTGCATGGGGAGGGGAAAGAAAGAGCAGACGAACAGCTGGATGGATGGATGGATGGATGCACGAGCGGCCTGGTGAGGTTTTGATCGAATTTATAGATGAGTGGAGAGCAAGAGGGGGTTGGAAGCAGAAAAATGAGATAGATGGTTGATGCTGGAATGAGAGGATGGAATGGAGCTTTCAGTCAGCGAATAGATGGGTGGATGGAAGGATAGATGAGGGAAGAGAGCTGCGTCACATAAAAAAAATCACATAAAGAGAAATGGAGGGAAGGAGTGTAAAGAGATGGATGGTTAATATTAGCTTATTGAATGAGGTAGGAGGATTTATGCAGCTGCTGCATTGTAGGGTAGAATGGAAAAAGGCAGATAATAAAAGAAAAACATCTTGAGTCTCAAACATTTGCATCTACTTGCCGCTTCTCAAAAGAAATCCACGTGAGAGTGTAGTGTTACCGTGCGGTGAGCTCCAACTCTTCACGAAAAGCTTGACAGCCTCAAAAAAAGAAAAGAAAAAAGCAACTTAAAATGTACTGAAGAAGATAGCTTTAGCCTCAGCGAACTGAGTGGACTCTTCTTCTTGTCGCTTAGCAACTGCTGTGAGCGTGGATCTGGGGGCTGGAGGGGTAGGAGCTTTTTTTTTTTTTTCTTCATCGCTCATGCCTGTTTGCAGGCCCCATATGCAGAAAGCGTTCACATTTCTCTGCTGCTTTTCATTTCTTGGAAATTTCTCTTTCAATCCCCAGAAGAAGAAAAAAAATGACACACACAAAAAAAAAAATTATATCAACAACTGGGCAGATATTTCTTTTGCATTCAAACCGCCGCCGACATCAACGGCAGTTTTTCTTTAACTCAGCAGCCTATAAATCTGTTAATTTCCTTTTCACTGCGTAATACCAATTGACAGCCGTGGAGGCCCTGCTACAAATGAGGGCGAAATTGTTATTAATAATATTCAGATTTATCGCTGTATTCGCCGTTGAAACCCTTCCGAAAGGAAGGGGGCAGAATTGGCTTGTGATTTATTTCCCCCTCCTATCAGCACTCCCTTTCTAATTGGACTTTGCTAATGATTAACTGAAGCTGGGTGCTACCCGTCCCAGCCCAACGAGAAATTTCCATCCCACGTCAAATTATTGATCAGTTTAGCAGCTTTCTTTCCTTAGGCTTTTGATTTGTGTTTTTTTTTTCTTTTTTTTTTAAATGCGACAAAATAAAAAGTACATTATTTATGCACTCAAAGGTTTTATAATTTCTTATCTTGCCATTTTGCAGAGTTTAATAAGATATGCTATCCTGTATGGCGCATACTAATTTGATAAAGATTGCCATCTGGTGATGTTTGGAATATTAAAGCACCTTGAGTATTCAGACTCTGAAAGCCTTTTGATAGGAATCTGTGTTTGTTTGTGAGTGTTTAAAGCAGCCTCGAGCATCTTTTCTCTCAGTCTGTCTCTTTTAAAACAGACAGCTGTGTCCTTGAGAGGAACAGTGCTGCACTTTTTTTGAAAACCCTCCCTTTTACCTCATAGTGCCTCTCATTTTTTTTTTCTTCTTCCGATTTTCCTTTTGGGGCAGATTTGAGAACAGATTGGGAGCTGGGCTTTTCATCATCTCAGCTTCTCTCCTTGCTTTCGATGTAGTCTAACACAGACTGGAGAGGATTTGCGGTAATCTTAAGACGTATGACAGGCACTGATGCCACTGTAAACAGCAAGGACCTGACAGTGTATGTATAGGGAGTATGAACGGAACAGGGCTTCTAGCTCACAAGCTGAGAGCACACAATGTTTGGTTGAAGAGCGTTGGTGGGTCTTACATGATGGCCCCTCCTTCTAACATCCAAAAAAACAATAAAAAGGTAGAAAATCGTATAAAAAAAGGGGTGGGGTAAATTACAGTGCAACCTTGCAAAAAGCAGGGGGCGCCAATTCCAAACCGACTGCACCTTTGGAGGGAATGGAAAACTTTTTCTAAGGGTGCAAATACTTTGTTTTTAGCCTCGTGCTCTTGCACAGCTCACACTAAAAAGCTACAACCTTCACATAATCCAGATGATTCCAAATAAAAAAATTTATTTAGGAAAATATAGCTCTCCCTGCAAGACAATGTTATTTTGCAAATTGAACAAATTTTATTGCCATCTTGTATACACAGAGTGTATACAAAACTAAATTTCGATGTATACAGCTTTTTAACAGTGAATGAGCAGTTTAAAACAGTGAAAACCAGTTAAAAGTCATGGTGCAAAAGGTATTAATATGGAGAAGTTCAATGCACTTCAAAATAAATAAATATAAGGTGCAAAATGCAGTAGAATATTTAGTTGTGTTCTATCTAAAGGGATTATGAAGAAATCTGCCATTTAGTGCATATTTTCAAGTGTGATGCAGAGTCTTCTTTAGAGTTGCAACAGTTCAACAGTCTTATTAGATTACATTAGATTAGATTCAACTTTATAGTCATTACACAGGTACAGGTACAAGGCAACGAAATGCAGTTTAGGTCTAACCAGAAGTGCAATAGCAGCAAGTGCAGGATAAATTATGGTTCCATAAATACAGGACATGGGTTTCTACTGAATAAATATAGAGATGAATACTATTATAAACAGAATATTACTTATAGATTTGTCCTTTGAATATAATATATCGATAACTAGTGTTATGAACTAAATTTACAGCTGGATATGTACCGAATATAATATACAGGCGGATATACTATAAAGAGGGTTTTTACAGTTATGTACAATCGGATAATATACAGATGTCTTTTACTATAAAATTAATAAATAAAATTTAGAAAGAAGCTATCTAAATTAAAGTGCAGTGAAAGGTAATTGCATGTTACAGTTATGGCAGTGGGGAGGAAGCTGTTGCTGAACCTGCAGGTCCTGCATCGAATGCTGCAAAGCCTCTTTCCAGAGGACCGCAAGGAGAACAGTCCTTGGTGGGGTGTAAGGGGGTCGCTGATGACGTTACGGGCTTGGGACACGCAGCGCTGGGATGAAATGTCTTTAATGGAGGGAAGAGAAGCCCTGATGATCCTCCCTGCTGTTCAATTAATTGAAATCTGTAATCAGTTTAAAACAATTCATTCCAGGTTTGAAGAGTCCAGGGTTGCCTTGTTTCAGTCCTAGAGACCTACTGTCCTGTAGCGTTTAGATGATTTTAGATTCAGGTATGCGGGAGCAGGGATGTGTCTAAAAGTAAGAGGATAGAAACTCTTCATTGGACTTGGTCCACATATGTAGCTCGTTATGTTAGTCTCTTAAAATAGTTACATAATGTTAGCAGAGGCAGGCATTAGGATTTTAAGGATTTTTTAATTTTCTATTAGTCATTCTATTGTATCGTCACAATGGGTCACTGTACCAATGATAAAGTTATTTTAGCCGGGTTATTGTTAGCCTGGTCATTGTTATTACATTAAAATGGTATTTATGCTGTTTGTCTGACTTAGTTAATGCAACAAAAATAATTCATAATAACAAAAAGCACATGATAAGAAAAAAATCTGTGTTTCTGATTTCACTGTTAGATTTTATTATATATTTTGTTTTTATGTGTATATACTGTCATATTTTAGTATCTTTACTGCAGGTTGGTAATCAGTGAGAGTTCTCTTAAATCCCAACAGTGGTGCTGCTCACTTTTTATTTTTGCTCAAAAATGCAAATGCATTGAAGGACTACACAAATAAAATATAAACAAGTAAAAAAAAAAATATTCACTGAGTCAGATCTGCTGGGATTTAGGTAACATTGCCATGCAAAAAGCATAATCCTCTCCAGGCCTTCAGATGCTCAGTACTTTGTTTATTTGCAGGCCTTTTTCGTGAAGGACTACATCATGAATCATCCGGAGGATGGAGACAAGATTGGTCGACTGAGAGAGCTCATGTTTGAACAGGTCTGAAAATATAGAAATAATTCCCTCTTTAAAAAGCTCAAAAAGTACAGTATTTTTAATTTTTGAAGATGTTATATTTATTATTTCTTTCAATACTATATATATAGTAGTTTTCATGTGCACATAAATGGGTAAAAGTAAAAACAATTCATGTCAGATGTATGCATCTATATCAAAATGAATTTCCCATTGTTTTATGGCTCTGATGGTTTACTTTTGTAGTGGATGAACAGTTAAAAAAAAAAAAAACATTAAAAAGATCCAAAGATTTACATAAACCCCTTAAACTAATATCTGCTTAATTATCCTCTTGCAAAAACGCAGAGAAACCTCAGAATCTTTGTTTCCAGCATTAATCTTAGCTCATTTTTCTCTTTCTTTTACAGAATATCTAGAAAAGGTGGAGTTCATTTAGATTTATTAGTTTTTTCTAGCACAAAAACGAATAGCTTTTAATAGGATTGACCTTGCATTTTGTTCCAGACGTTTAATATGATCCTATATCTTGTTGGGACACCCAGTAATGTTAAAAGTTAAGTTTATTTAAAGCAATCCTCTTTTGCAAAGCACCTGTAGAAATCTGGTGAATTGCAGCATACTGTATTGTCGTTACAATCATTTTTAACTGTTAATGTTCCTCAGCCTGAAACTCTCAGCTACTCCAACTGTACCTCTCATCAATGTTGGCAACTTGACTCCTGTGAGGTGGCTTCCTTTGGAGATTTGAAGCTGGGTTCATTGTAGACAGGCGCCTCCCTCATGTAACACTTTAGAGCAGGAGCTACATACCTTTTACTGCCTCAGTGTGTTTTTATGTTTTTAAAATCATTGGAGCTTGATCATGCATAACAAGACCAGGGACAATCCTGCAACTGTGATCAGGGCAGCTAGATGACGCTACAATGAGAAGCTTAAAAAAAATCAACCTCTGTGCTAATGAGCAAGCTGCAGTTTAGAATGCTGTGAAAAATATACCGTCTACAGGATCCTTTCTCCCTGCCTTAAGCACATTCCCCACCTGGCAGACGGCGACCTTTACAGCGTCTGCTGCAGGTTTGAAAAACAGCCGTTTACACCTTCCTCCAACTCATCCACATCTCACTCTGACTGAAAAGCTTCCCATGCTCCGGTGAGACTGAGGAGCATCTTCACACATACCCCTATCTCCTCCTCTCTCTGTACACAAATGACTGCACTAGCAGGCTTGTCTGTAAAACTCCTAAAGTGTGCAGGTAACACTGCTGACACAAGTCTGATCCAGGAAAATGATGAGTCTAAATAAAAGCAGGAAGTGGATCAGCTGGGTCTGGATTCCGCCTCTGATGTTTTCATACAGACAACCTTCAATATAAGGACCAGCACAGACTGGATCTACTGTGAGAACTTTAAAAAGGATTCTTCCTTGTGCAAACCCATCCCTGTATGAATTAGAGATTAACATCTAGCTAGAACTAGTACAGAATCTCTGCAAACGACACACCCTGAACGGAATCTGCCTAAACCTCAGGTCACCAATGCAGGGCACCATTTACAAATAGTCCACGCAAACAAGCGGTCAATGGATTTTCTCACAATTACCACTCATTGCACAGAAGGTTCTCATTTGGACGAAAACATTAATGTACCCATAATATTTTTTTCATCTGCAGCTCAGTTTCAAAATACAAGAGAACTTATTAGACATCCCACAATGTGCATGTTTGTTTAATAAAAAAAGTCGAAAAAAATACCCCCAAATCTGGTTTAGGGATATACTGTATATGTATATATAACGTTGAGCACAAGTGAACTTCTTGCTGGATTTGTGTTTGATATTTCCATTTCTGTGTTGCAGGCCAGCATCTTGGAATACGGCCTAGCTGTGCATGAGAAGTATGTTCCCCAAGACATGAGACCCCTTCATAAGAAGCTGGTGGACCAGTTCCATCTCATGAAATCCAGTCTGGGCATACAGGTATTAAACACAGATGAATTCAGACCCAACATAAACAAATTAAGAAGATTGCATATTTTCTTACTTTAAATTATTAAAAAGTGTAAACCACATGTGAGAGTAGAACGCATCTGCTGTGCTCAGATTTCTAATTCTATGACCCCTGCAGTCCTAAGGAAGGGGGGGCGGGGAGCCACCACTTGTTAAACAAACCTCCCCTCATCTACATGCCAAACATTTTATTTATGCACCACATGCTGACTGGAGGAGCCTTTAATCATGTGCTTTCCTTCTTTCCTTCATCTGAAACTGCAGGAGTTCCCAGCTTATGTGCGGGCAAGCCCCGTGCCCTTCACCAATGGGAGCCCACGGACTTACAGGAACTCTGTGCCAAGTATCATCAGCCCGGACGCGGGCAGAGGGGTATCAAGGCGGAGGTGATGAAATTATTAATTTAATCATTAAATAGATCTATTTTTACATTGGGCTTTAGTAAAATACCATCTTTTATGAAGTGAAATGTTAAAAAATCATCTAGTAATGGATCTTTCCTCCAGCTGTTTACTTCTGGGGGGGGGTATGTCTCTGTGGCTGACTGTGGGTGGGTGTTTTGATGTGCTCAGTGACCCTTCCGCCCTGTCTACCTGCGACATTCTCCAACAACAGTCTATTCCCATGGGGCACAGAAACTTTGGCGATGCACACATCGCTTCTATCTCACTTTGACATTTCCTCCTTTTTTTTTTGCTTGTTTTTCGTGCATCAAGTTTTGCTTTCCAAAAAAAAAAAAAAAAAGGGAAAATGCACTATATCTGTATATATTTTTTAGACGTTTTTGTCCTTTTGATGAAATGCTGCAATTGTCATTCTAACTGTTATCATCCAAACTGACATCCCTCATCTCTCTCTTATTTTCTGCCGGTTTTTCCATTGTGTTGGACTCCTTGGTGAATTTACGGTAAGTGAAACACAGCTACTTGTCAACGTAACTAAAAAAATATTTTGTCTTCCTTTGCTGGAAAACTTCAGTGTGCGTTAGGTTGATTTTAAAGCACCATTTGCTGCCTTCAGGTCTGAATCCATAAGTGGATCTGAACAGTTGCTGCTTGGCCAAGAATTGGAATATTATTATTTAATAATAACAATAATAATAATACATGCTTTCATGCAATATCTGAAACAAACTCAAAAGAGAAGGACATCATTTGCACAAACGTTTTTTCATTATAATTTATTCCACAGCTTATATTTTTTCAGTTCTGCTTTGTCATTAGGCTAATGCAGCTATTTTCCTCTTTATAATATTTTCCTCTTTATATATATTTTATGATTTTTATTTGTTTGATATATAGAAAAAATAAAATAAAACACAATATATTTTAGATTTTGTTTAAAAGTTGATTCGATGTGTTCGAAGGCTTTTGTAGGTATTATTTCTCAGTGAAAAATGAATTTCATTAGCAGTGATTCCCTCTTATCTTCTAGGGTAAAAAGGCTAACATAAATCAGGCTTGATGTTCTATCCTATTAAATGCATTCCCACAGCATTTTGCTACCACTACCATGTTGCACTACAGGAATGGCTATGTTTGGAGTTTACTTCTAACCATGCATATTGTTTTGATAGTTTTCCATTACATCTAAATGCAAAAAACACTTTTCAGATTGACTGTGGGTAAAAAAAAGTTTTAGTGTTTTTCCTCCATTTTAGTTATATGTTACTTAAAGTTGTCCAAATATCACATTGATGTATGCACTTTTAAGATGAGAAAATGTGGAAAAAAAGAAGAGAAGCTCTTAATGTTGTCGTTCATGGAACATAACTTAATTTCCTTTGACCAAATCTGCCATAACAAGCCCTCTTTGTCTTCTTAGCCCCTGCAGCTACCCTGCAGTGAACCGTTACTCCTCGTCCTCCCTTTCATCTCAAGCCTCCAACGAAGTCAGTAACATCACCGGGCAGTCGGAGAGCTCAGATGAAGTCTTTAACATGCAGGTAATCTCTCGCCTTTAAACACACATACAAGCAGACTCTTATGCACTACCCACACACCCCAGAAAAAGGTTCTTTAAGTAGTAGATTGAGTCCACATCCCAACATTTGCCCTCCTGCTCCAACATGCTCAACTCGTATCACTTTTCTTTTCTAATCCCTCCTTGCTCCATTCCGTCCTAATTTTTTTTTCTCTCCTCCGACCCTTTTTCTCACTATCATGCCGTCTTTCATGTCCAGGACTCGGTCCGGCCAAACAAATTGTCATGATTATATCAATTCAGGACACGGTGCTTTGTGCAGGCCGTCCAGGGAGCCTGCCTGAGTCTAATCTAAACTAGATTTGCCCAATTCAAAGAGCTGCCGACAACTCTTGGCAAGCTGTCTGCCGCACCTGGCAGGCCTGGAGTAATAGTAGAAGAGGCGAAACACGGAGAAAAAGGCTGCTGTCAGGAATCTGACTAAGTCAGTTTGGATAATAGATTTGGATATTAAATCTTTCATTTCCTGTTAATTAACTATTTACTTAAGGATGGAAACCAGTAATAGAGTTCATTAAGAACTTCCATTGAACATCTTTATTTTTGTTTTCAGATTTATTTGGTAATTGACATTAGTAGTATCAGACAACAACCAAAGCACCTTATGTAGATTGAAGCCAAAAGTATTGGTCCTTTTTAAAGATTTCGCATTACCACAAAGTTTGCTTTTGCTTGGTTATTTAACAGACATCTCTCAAAAGATAATAAAACAAAGATTTGAAGAAATGCTTATAATAAATTATGTATATCCTTCTTAACAATCAACAAAGAAACATATCAAGCACTATAGCAGATGACTTCAACACTTTTTCTAATATTGCTCAGGTAAATAAATGGTGAATAAATGTCTCCAAATAAACAACAGCTGCTTGTTTTGGTGGATCAGATCTCATCAAATTTCCAAAGTGTGCAAAGGGTATGATTAAATACAAATAAATATACTGTTAAAAGGTGATGCCCTATGGTAACTATAAACTAGTTCATGTTGTTTGCAAATGACATAAACTAAAAGCAGAAATAAAAAAAGCAGTTTTGTTTTTGTTTCAGTTTACCACAAATTTTTAATCCCTTCATTTTGCTGACCTTCATGTCTTAAATAAAGCAAGATATTTTTTCCAAGAAGCAAAGGTACTTCTGAGTAATATTAACAGTGCTGATAGTGTAAATTGCAAGTAGAAGCTCAATATTTTAGATAAGATTTATACTTTATGAAAGGTGCCATGAAAATGTGTCTGTATTGGCAGTAATAAAAAATGTTTTTTCTTCAAGGTGATAGTTAGCAATGCTTACCTCTCTGACGGCGCTTTATTCATCTCTACAATTAAACATGAATCTATTATGCTAAGAATATGTGACATTAATTGTACTCTGTTACACCTTCCTGTTATCTCTATAGTCCCGCTTTATGCAGGAGACATGCCTAGAAAATATTATTTAGGAGCTTTGTATAGATTTTATGCATCATCTTTCTTGACATCTCTTTCATAGTAAAAAAAAAAAAAAATCAAAAAGCTAAGTAATCTTCTCTCAGTAACAACTTTCACCCCAAAGAGTGTCGTCAATAGTGCTAACTAGGCTTCATTATGGAGCATTTTATAGCAAAGTTTTCAAGCGTCCAATCCCGGTCGTCAACCCATTTTCATCTATGTGGCTGGTTTGTTTATGCGTTGCAGTAACTTAATTTTTGCTTGAAAAAAACCCTCAAATTTCTTTATAAATTCAGTTATTTTTACACCAAAAATAAAGTTCTTAGACAAAAAGAAATTGTGGTAAAGTATTTGCTATAAAGCGTTAAAAAGCTATATGTTAGCAGATCAAATTTTATTAAGATCATCAGCAAAAAGTAAAAAACAAATCTATTGTACCCTTTACCCAGATTGTTGAAGTGAAAAGACTACTGTTTAAAGTCAGCTACCTTATTTTAAAGCAAGCTCATTTCTCTTTGGTAAACGGAAAATGATTTTGATATTTTGTTTATTTAACAAAAATGTACATAATGTTGTCGTCTCCACCTGCAGCCCAGTCCATCTACCTCGAGTTTAAGCTCCAACCATTCTGCCTCCCCGAATGTCACCAGCTCAGCCCCTTCCAGTGCCAGAGGTGAGATTGCATTTTTTAAAAATAAATAAATCTGCATTTCTGACTCTGATCCTGTTGATTTAAATGGAGTGTTGCTTGTTAGAAAGGGCGCACTTTCGACCTTACAGTGGAGTGGTGGGATCCCGTCTGATAAGGTTAAAATCTAGCTAAAGAGTCTCAAAGAGAATGTTGAAAAGTAAGCAAGCCGAGAAAACGAAAAACAAAGAGAATACAGAATGGAGATATATAAATAAATCAGCTGAGAGAAATGGTGTCGAAGGGAACTCAAAGAGCCAGCAAAAACGTGCAACAATGTAAGAGAGAATAAGAGATTTTTACAACTGAGCTGACTATTCCCGTATAAAAAGCCCCGACCAGGCCGGCCGCAGTTATCCAAGCCTCCTCCGCTGTGCAGAGTGAATAGCTAATGCCTCATCCTGCCGCCCTCTCAATCCAGTGTGTTCGAATGTGTAAATGTGTTTCTCCCTGATCCCCATCATAAAAAGCGAGAATATATGAAGACGTTTATGGAACCGTATGCACTCCCCTTTGGCAAGCTCCTGACAGCGGGCGGCGCCCTTATAAAAGTGCCCTCTGTCTACCCATAAAGCGTGCGAAGAATTATTGCCTCTGTGGTGCTACCTGAAGGAGAGCCAGCAAATGCGATCTTATATTCATATGATAGCCCTCCAAGTGCTGTCAAGTTGGCTAATGGTTCAAGATTCATGCAGCAGCTGCTGAGAGGAAGGGCAGCGTTTGTGAAGAATTTGCACGTTTGGTTTTTGCACCTATCTATCGTATCGCGTTACATATGTAAGCGTGTCTGGCTGTTGTGATTGTCCCTCGTAATGGAGGAGGCAAGGGAGTGAAGTTAGAGGGGAGTGAGGAGGATGTGTGAGTGTGGGTGTGCGAAGGAGGGGTCAGGCCATTTATCATGTTGTAGAGCTAGTGAGGCTGAAAGGACGGCGAAGAGAGAAGCTTGGAGGGAGAAAGAGAGATTGGCCTTTCCTGATTGCCAGTATTTGCGGGTAATAGCCTAACACCTTGCTCCCTGTTTGGTCCAGCACATGTTTGCTCTTCCCGTGTGTGTGCGTGTGTCAGAGCTCTAACATATCCTTCTGTTCATTTCAGGTTCGCCTCAAATGGCAGAGAAACACAAGCATTCCAGAGAAAATGCCTGCTTATCTCCGAGAGAGAGACCGGTCAGTGCCATCTTCCCCAACCCCCATGATCCTGTACAGGTTAGCAAATAAAATTTTTTTATTTTTTTATTGGCTTAAAGGTATAGTGGAGGATGTTCTTTTTCTGGGTGGATCATTAAAATAAGTGGTCCTCCTAATTGTCAATCATTCTGGTTATATGTTTACATAAGGCCGTCCTATGTGCTCGTCCCCATTTTCACTTGCCGGTAGTGAGTCTGACATAGTGGATAAATTGCAAATCTTCTTTTGGAAAGTAAGCTTGTATGAGTGATGCAAACAGCAACTTTTAAACAGAGCGTGCACAAGGAGAAATGGGTTTGTGCATGCTTTCACATGTATTTAAGAGGCGTTCCCTCTCAGGAGCGGGTACAGGGTTGTGTATGTGCAATATTTCAAAGCAGAGAGAGCAGGTCTTTTAAAAAAAATCGTGAAAATCCTCCACTATACCTTTAAGCTAATCTAACTGAGGAAAAGAGCTTTGACTTTGGTGCAACACCAGTAGAGTACATTAGATCAAATTAAACTCTTTTTAAGTAAAAAAAAACAACAGTATTAATAATAAAAAAAATGACTGAAACAAAGTATGAATTCTCTAGCAGAGTTTGTGCTTCCATCTGTAGCAATAAGTCAGGTTTTAGGGTCATTATTTAATAGAAACAATATGAGTCATGAGTACCATACAGCGCTTGCCACTTCTACCTTTTTGAAGATTGACTGATGATGCTACCAGTCTGCTTGATTTTCAAACAGCCAATTTAGCTAAAAAGGCGGGGGAAAAATTGCATGAGGCTTCTTTCAATCAGGTAATCAGCAATCAACTACAACAGATTAAGCTAATCTACTTTATACTATTTGCTTTGATACACTTGGACTCATAATTGTTTCTGTGGCATTATTCACATTCTGAATTATTGCAAAGTTTCAATTGAAAATATTAGTAGATTTAAAAGAAACTGTCTTAAATGAGTCGCAGATTATAATGACAGCATGGGGGCCTGCAACCTCAGACTTTAGCTCATAATGAATGGCCACAGTACCTATGAGAACTGCACAAATATTATCATTGATAATTGAGAAGGACACAGTTATTTTTAAGATATCAGTTTTTGTTTAATTTGTTAAAAAATCTTTTTTACTTGTGTCCAGTTTCAAGTGTTTTCTTAGTAAGAATATCTGAAAAATAATTGACTGTAAATAATTGTAGAACTCAATCTGCCAGAGTTATGAATAAATTGGGATGCAGACGTAGCTTAATAACAGTTAGTTAGCTGATAACTGGTCACACAATGAATTCAACCCTTTTGTTTTTAACAGAAATTGTAGAAGACAACATAAAAAAATAATTATAAAAAGGCCAAAATTGTCTTTGTCAGTTATTCAGTTAGTTATATTTTTCCATTTTGGACTAATTTCCCACATAGCAATACATGAAGAACTGGGACAGCAAGTTAAAATATGATAAATGGAAGGAATATTTATTGCTCACCTTTTAACTAATTGTCAGTCCTCAATGCAATCATTCAGATGAGTTTTTTCATGACTTTATGGCCTTTTTATAACACAGACAAGGATTACTAGACCTCAACAAATAGTAAGTCTGTCAGAATAATATTATGATAGAATGTTAAAAGTGTCTGCATTCAATTTTTTATGGTAGCTGTAATGGTTTTTATATGACAAGGGGGTGAAATAAAAGACGACAACCTTGAAAGAAGAGCAATTTCTTGCATTCCTGCTCCACCCCTCTGATATGTTTAATGAGCTTCTGTTAAGTTTTGCTTTTTTTAATCAAAGTCAGCAAAGGTTTGACTGGACCACAAAGTCAAATTAGGAAGCAGATCCATAGTTTTCCAGAACTCTTTGAAGCAAATCTTGAGTTTATAACAACTTCTGTACCCAATGAGGTGCATACTCTGGCAAAAAACAAGGTCACCTTTTTAATGTACAATACATCTCAATGGGTGACTTCTATGTAGGAGACAAAAATGGTGTAAGGCCATTTTGTCGCTGAGAGGTGCAATTTTTCAAGAGCACTAGACGGTACTTGTGTTTTTGTTAAACATTAGCTCGCCCCTATTCGAGCCTCAGGGGAGAAAAAGGGAAAGTCCTGTACATCAAACCAGTGTTAACACGAAAACAAGAGGTTATGGAAACTGCTTGATATTGTAATTGCTTTCCTAGTTGAAGGACAGAATGTAACCCGACCACACAATCAGTCCGCAGACAAATCTCTGATAACAGAAGCCTTATCTGTTTACTGTTGAAGGCCATTCATCTCTTGCAGTCGCAGCTTCATATGAAGTTAACCTCTTTTTTCACCCTGTTTATGTTTAATTCTATAGAGGGAATATTACAGATGACTCAAATACTACAAAACATTTTTATTAGTTGATTAATCTGGCTTCTGCAAAGATTGTTTAGCGAGATTCTTATTTTTGTTTTACTTATTTAACAATTATAGACACAATTTTTTATGATATCTACCAGATTCTCTTCAAATGTCTTTCATTGGTAGAAAACGTTTTGGTATTAATATGTATATTATTTTTTTAGACATGCATGCATCTTGTGACATTATAAATCGGTTATTTTAATTATTTCTGTTTGCGTTTTTCTTAGAATCAACAGTGTTGATTTGCATTTTATCTATATTATAAAATCCATAAAAACAGATTGGCTTTATGCTTGTGTTTAGGGTGATGATCATGAACACAAATACAGAACTGAATTTAAGTGTTTTTTTTTTTTTCAGTTAAATCTTTTTTTTTTTTTTTTTTATATAAATCAGCAATTTTTTTATTATCAGTGATATTTTATTGATTTATACAACATAACGAAAGTTCTTTGTGCATGTGGTGCAGTCAGGTTGATGCTACAATGGAACTGCAAATGTCTTAATGAATTCTAAGTTCAGTTGAAAAATGAGAGAAATGTTTAAGTATATGATAAATAAATAAAAAAATAAAACAAGTTGTGCTCAGGGCTCTGTACAGTCCGTGTCCCGTTCTGTAAAAAACAAAAAACAAACATAAGGTTGAAAGAGAAACTGTGAACTTTACATTTGTTTCTTACCCCACTCCACTGTTGTTGTTCTGTTCTGGTCCTTATAAGAGCTTAAACAGCACAGCTCCGGTGTGTTTTTCATAAGTTTATTTAAAATGTGTTATTTCCTCTTTCTGTAGCGAGCTCCTACTCACCAGATAGGAGACACAACTCTACCCAGGAGTGACCCCAACCTCTCTGCACCAGATAAAGGTACATTCTCAACGCTGCACATCTATTATTCTTCCTACTTGCACGGAGAACTGCCGACTCAGCAATCAGAAACACAACAAAATGACTCTTCCATGGAATATCTATTATTTTATGTCTAAGGGAAAAACCCTTCCATTCACTAATCCCTTATTTGTGTCCATTTATCCTAATCCCCAAGGAGAAATTGCTCCCATCAGCGTTATTATGCAGAGCTCCAGAGCAGACAGCTCCTTAGACTCTCCTCTATGCATACTCTCCTGTCCAGGGTGTCAGCCATCTTGCTTATATATGCAGTGTGTACCTTTCTCACCACACTGTGGAGAAGCATTTGTTTTCTGGCAGCTGCTGCAGAGAGCTCCATAGAAGCTTGCTCTAAAAACATAAACGGAGCAGAAATGAATCTATTGTGTTCTCATGACCTTTACAGAAAGCCAATTTTTTTGTAAAGCCATGACTGCACATTTGCCATTCTAGCTAGATCCAAGTTTTCTCATAAAACCGTAATTGACATCATTTAGATTAGTTGTTTTTATATTGGATTTGTTTCAGATTGCGAGACAAAAACTTTTATCAAAAAACCACTGAATAAAAAATACAAAAAAACTGTAAAAATATGCATTTCTAGCATGTTTTTGGTGATTTTTTCTTTAAATTCTTTTCATTTGTACATAACTCAATACATAAACTAATATCAACTCTTAAAATAAACAGTTTCTGCTATATCCTAAATGGTTCAAACAAGCTTGGTTCAAATGGTTCAAAAATTTTGGACCTTAATGAGATTTGAACATGTCTAGGAACATTAAGCTAGGACCAAAAACATGTAATATTCAATGCTTAACCTGCCATAAAAAGGTGAGTTTAAAAATGATGTCCACAAAGCTCCTTTCTTTAAACTTCTCTAAAGCAAAGATAGCATACTTCAAAAGTAAGACCATCAGAATTGTAGTCAGACAATGGTTCACTGATTTTAGCTCCTCTAAATAGTGATTACCTTCCAGACTTAAATGTATTACATAGTGGTAGGCAATGATTGATTTTTTTATAATCTAGATTAATCTCACTTTAATCTTGGATTTAAATCTAAATTCATCTATATTTAAATCGCTCCTTTGGATTCTGTCAAAGGCATTCATGATATGTGTGCTTCCTCCAAAATTTATAAGCAAACATTTCCTTTTTTAATTATGTTTGCAAAATCAAACGTAATTTCATCTTCGTGCTTAAGATTAGGACAAAGCTATAAATAATTTTTTTGCTCATTTTTTGTGTTTTTGCAGCAAAAAATAGAGTTTCCCACTTCCAATTATAGATTTTCCACTTTAACAATATATTGTCTCCAAAAATCTGACACACGTCGCCTTGATCAACTTCTCATCCTTCACGGCTTTCTCCGTGGCATGCTGGTCATGTATTCTCCTAATGATAGTTCACCTCGCAGGTAGTTTCTAAGATGGGTCACCTGTGGCCACCTGGAGAATGAGCTCAAGCTGGCAGCTTGTGGCTGTCCACCGAGCGAGGAGATTAGTTAGCTATGCTGATAGAGATGGGCTTATAGCGGCATCCATGGCAGCACGTCACGTTCGATGTGGTAATTTCAAAGTATCCCTACACAGGTTGGAATATTGATTGGTTCTCGACACCAGATATGCATCCCCGCTAAAAGATCAAGGAGAAGGTTATCATTAGTATAGACCCAGCTCTGTTTTTTTATCGCCTGAGAAGAGTCTGGAATTAAAACAGAGTGTTAAGGCCTATAACGGCCCACCACTAGTATTATACAAAAAACGTAATCATTCTTTTAATAAGCAATAGTACTTGTATCATTGAGAAACCACTTATGCATCTTAGCTAGGAAAGAAAAGCTAACTAAACTATTTTAAATCTCAGAGAATGAAATCCCTTCTTATTTTAAGGTATTGGAATGCATTAAGGTTATAGATTTTTGCTGATTTCTGCCAAATATCATCCTATTCCTTCTCCTGCCAATCAGTGCATTCCTAACATATACAGTATCATTTGGAAAGTGATTTTTATGTTTTCCCCCTCTTATTGAAAATATATTACGATTATAATGGATAAGAGGCTTGGCAGGGATACTGATATAGAAATTAAAATAAGTTTTTGGAAAATGTGTTCTTCTCTTTATTTTAACTTTTAAGCCAGAGACAATACTTCCACCATTTCTGAAGCAGGTTAAACAACTGGTCCATAAGAGGAGAGGCTTTGTTTTTTATATATATATGTTGTTTTTTTTCCTCACATCTTAATGTTTTATTATGATAAAGCATGAAAAAAACAACCTTTTTTTCTAAACTGTTAAGAAGGTTTTACAAGTCTGTTAAATGAGTTCCTCCTCTACCAGCTCAGTAGTCTTAAAGACAATTATCCACATAATTGCTAAAATCCAACAACTCCTTCCAGTTTTCTTAATCCACCTCTCAATAAGCTTTCTCACCTCCGTGTTTTTGTGCAATTAAAAAAGTAAACAACCGGCAACAATTTCACACTTTTGCCTCAGCGTAGGAACAATTACAGATGGTGGCAGATGACGCACCTTTAAATAAAGAGCGAGAAACATGGATGTGACAGCTTCCTCGCGACTCACAGGAAAACACACACCTTTCTCACATGAGCAGAGTGCGATCAGCAAATAATGCAGCAGGAGAAGGGTGCAGTAAATCCCTCACAATATGGTTATGTGAGCCTTCTGTACACACGACAATGAAAAAATAGAAAAAGGTGCAAGAATTTACACCAAACCTGTTTCTTTGGAAGTGCAACTTTTTAAACTTCTAATTATATCTTTGTGCTGTTAGAATTCAAACCCTTTTATGAAACAAAGCCTAAAAACTTCCACTGTCTTTTTCCAGGAATAATTGCATCTAAAGGAGTAACTAAATGTCAGCTATATAACTTACTGAACAGGGAAGAGAGCATACAAATCTTTTAGATATGAAAAAGAAAACAGAATAATCAAGCTGCCAAAATATCTTATCCTAGAACAAGATTGTTTTGATCCATTTTGGTTGACAGTGAGAAAACGGCCCATCAAATGTCCTGTGTCATTTTTTTTTCCCTTTTATTTTGAAGAATTTGAAGTTGCATCATTTCCACTCAGCTGCTCCTACTTCAAAAAAGCAAAAATCTATCTTGCATGATAACATTTTTGAGACGGTTCCTGTTGAACCCATCACCTGGGGCTAATGCAATTTGCTTTATCATAGCTGACACAGCTCTCTCTATGATTATTGAAGAGGGTTTGTTAAATGGGTAGAAAACCTTAAAGTATAGCTATTTTTTTACTGCACGTGGCTTCGTCTCCTTTCATTAAAAACAAAATTAAAAATTCCTTTAATTTTTATATGTTTAATTATTGAAGAGACTCATTTCAGCGTGAAGAGCTGAGCTCCAGCTTCACCCCTCGATCTCCCTCTGGGTGGCAAAAGAGCCCTGCTGCTATTTTAAAAGATAGTGCAAAACCTTTTAAAATATCTGGAATGTGAATAAATAAAGTCTAAATATCAAAATGTTGTCATGCATACTAATACACACTAAGGTTTATTATGAAAGCAAGAGTTTATTTGGGTGTATGGATATAACAGTTAAAAGTCAGGAAAATAGAAATAAGAACTCAACAGTCAAATTAATTATTTTGCACAAGTTAATACGTTTTATTATAAGTTAACTCAGCTGGTAGCTACATTATGTTATGTGACGTCACCCATCTGGAGCTAGTAACTTCCCCTTGGCCACAACATCACAGCTGTGCAGCTAGGCAGCGTTCTCATCGGAATGGGTGGGGATGGTTGGCGGCACAAAGGTAATTGATTTGAGAAAACACTTAGGGCCGATCTTCATAAGGTTTGTGTCTTAAAACAGGTGCAAACATATAAGATTATAAAGAACAGATCCTTAAAGAAGGTGGAAAGTGATTGCATGTGTGCCTTTATCAATATGCAGATCATATGCTAATGACCTGACTGCACAAATTCATTGGTGGAGGATATGCCCACATGCAAAACAATTTTCCTAAATATGAAATTCCATTGCGGCTGCAGTTTTTGAGTATTTTTTAGTGCATCTAAATGTCTGGCGTAAACTTACGCACAAATATTTCTGCATTCATTGTGGAAATCAAGAAGGCGTTGTTACAAGGCCAGACGATGGATAGAGATTCTGTACGTATGTAAACATATGTGGATGGTCACACGTAACAACACTAGAATGATATTAGTAAAGAATAATACATCTACAGCCAAAATCATTAATTAATGCAAAATCGTTAATTAATGCAATCAGATGCCATAAAAACTTTATTCAATTAAACCAAATTGAAATTAAAATATGACTGAAATGAAACATTCTGAGGCCAATCAAAAGAAAAGACAACTTTCAAAGGTTCTGTTTCATTTTTTTTTTTAAGTTTAACATCATTTTTGTAATTTTATTTTTTTCTTTGCATTGCAATTTCTGTAAAGTGCACTGTAAATGTTATTTAGTATCACTAATTTTCATCCAACTAAAGAACCTAGAATCTCATACATTCTTTTAGGAAAGGTTTTGGTTTGCACATTGTAAGCAATCTTTATAAATTAAATGCTTATTACCGTACAAATACTAAAAAATATTATACATGCAGCTTAACAGCCCTTATTATGAAACTTTTAAGAAAAAGCCCTTAATTGGAAAATATTTTTTACAGAAAGTAAAATGATAAGTAAATAAATCTAAAAACAAGAAGTAAATAAATCTGGAATATTGGAGCCTGTAGAGTCCAACTTTAATGGTCAGTAGCTACTTTAATTTCCCAAATGGTAAACTGATGTGCAGTATGTCCACTCAAAAATTGAAGGTAGATCCAATGTACACTAACAAGTTGTTTTGGAAGGCTTGCTGTTTTCTGTCTTACTGAACATATGGACATAGACAAGCAGTACAACGTTTAGCTGGAGTCTCTTTCTTTGGTCATAAGAGACTAATATTATAATTTTTGGCAAAAAAAAGACCAAAAACACTGAAAATTGCACGTTGGAGTGCCTCCTATGGCTCTGATAACCTTTTACAACACCTGCCATTATGCATGCTTTAAGATCCTGAGGTATTTTAAATGAAAACACTGTGAACTGAGCTGAAAGGAAAAGATCCAAAATATATGGCCAAATCGATGTAGAGGTAGTACACTGGACACAAAAACAGCTTTCTTTCATAGCCATTTTAAATAAAACCTGTATTTGACCAGAAGAGTCGACCAAAAAGTCTGGATAATCTATAGAGATTAAGAAAAGAGAATTTCTTCTTTTTTCTCCTACTGAATAAATGTACCCAATCTAAAGGTTAGACCTTTCTAAATGTTTCACAGTATGAGCTGAAACCACTGTGATAGCAGCTGAATTTTCTTCAATACTTTTTTTCCTCATATCTCTCTTTCGAAAGTGCGAAGAAGTTTAAAAGGCTGATTTAAACTCAGAAACTATTGACACGTTCTTCAGCATGTCTGCATCCATAGAAAATGTCCATATTTCATCTGTATATTGTGTTTTTGTTGCATGCAAATCCATCATGTGATATTGTGGTGTTTCTGTGTGCTGTGAAGTGAGACCCACTCCCAGTAGCTGGAGCCTAGACAGTGCCAGAGAGCGTGCACCATGCTTCTCTGACAATGTCAGCAAATCCATATGCCCTCCTGTACCTCCCAGGCCACCATACCAAGGTAAAATGGCCAATCATGGTGAACTCTCCTCTGATGAATTGTACTAATTTTCCCATCTGGCTTTTGAACACCTGCTGCCCTCGATGGCTCTCCTTTCTGGTTTCCTGTCTACCTTCTACTACAGTCTACAGCTCTATCTATTCTGACTGGCTTCAAATTCTAATCATGTTTGTTGTGAAATGTGTCTGCTTAGCTAACTTAAGTTATTTATTTTTATAAAATGTGGTCGATCATTTGGTTTCATCTGTAAATAAGAAGCCTAAAATGTAAATAACTCTTTGAGCTAATGGGAGAGGGGCATTAAAATGTGTTAAAATGCATTTAACGTCAGTGTTTTCAGATGTAGTGTAGTTACCCAAGAGCATCAGCAGCAGATGGAGTATCTTTTCTTCTCGATGGTGCAAGAACAGCTGTTGGGAGTAGAATCAGCTTATGGCAGTCCAAAAGACCTGCACAACAGCCGTGCTGCATGATTTCACTGATGCTTTCAGCTCAAGGCCTCTGCTTCCTTTCTTCTTGTTGCCTGACTTCATATTGTGTTTTCTCACCAAGTGAAAGCAACGTCCCTCTTATTTTGTCCGTTCTCTGATTTATTTATTGATTTTCTTTTTTGGATCCACAGTTTCCTTGGCTAAAAACGCAAGGTCGCAGTCCCCAGGTCCGATGTCCAGATCGCCGCAAAAGGTTGGTCCTTGGTTTTGTTCATTCTGGAAACTGTCGTTATCCGTCTCTGTGTGAAACGTAAGACAGAGGGGGCTTGCATTAATGCTCACTGGAGCTCCTCTGCTGCTGATTTAGGGCTTAATATGTCAGCTGTCCCAAGAAGGTCCCAAAACGGGATTGGCCTGCGGGCATTCATTGTAATACCTGAATATATTCTGTTCCATAGGGATGTCATCTGTTCACTGAAACATATGAAAACCGACATGGATTTATTAGGCTTCTCTACTGAAGCTTTTTAAATAATTTATAGTGCTTTCAAAGAAAGAAATCCTACCCCTTGAATTGTTTTGCAATTTTTAACATTGTTGCTACACTGCACCATATTTTAATCAGAATTATGATTTTTTTTCATGAGACCATCAGATTTGATGGAGCAAATTAAATTAAATTCAGTTTATTTATAAAGCACCAATTCATAAAGAATGTCATCTCAAGGCACTTTACAGAGAATGTTAAACCAGATCACACAGTCAAACTGATTAAAAGTTTTCTACCTAAGAAAAACCAGCTGATTGAATCGACTCATTGACTCAAAGGCAATCCCTCACACTACTCATGCTTGTAGCAACAGTGGAGAGGAAAAACTCATTTTAACAGGAAGAAACCTCCAGCAGAACCAGGCTACAACTCTATTGTAGCACTGGCTTTATATTTATCATGGTCGTCCAGGAAGAATTTGAACCTCAACCATGGTCTTAAAACAGTTTTTTAACAATTTTTTTTTTTTTGGCTGGACATTAGCCACTTTCCCTTTAACCTTCAAACACTGCAAATTGTAATTACATAAATAAATGAGCTACAGTAAACAGAAAAAATGAGCATTTTTCAATAAAAAATAAAAATATTTTTGTAAAATTCCAATAGAAACACTTTGTTTTTCGCATCACACAAGTGACATTATTTGCAACTGGACCTTACTGCCTTGTAAAAAAAAAGAGAAGAAGAAGAAGACTAGATATAGTTTGAGGATGATCGCACTCTCTGGAGCCGAGGCGGAAATATTGATAGAACTCATGCGTTTACATCCGCCGCTGCCATTTTTGTTTTCGCTAGTTATCGCATGAAACAAGGCATTCACATACACTTTAGTGTTTGTTCTGTAATGGAAATACCGCTATTGTAAAAAAAATTGCATTTGACGAATCTTCTACATGAATTACAAAGAAATGGAGTCCACTTTCAACAATAGTTATTGTTGGCGTGCACCAGTGGCCGGTGGTTAGCATGCATGACCCATTTACACTATGGAGGCCTTAGTCTTCGACGTGGAAGGATCGATCTGTGTTTAAATCCGGCCTGTGGTCCTTTGCCACATGTTTTTCCACCTCTCTTGTACCCCCTTTCCTGTCAGCCCACTTAACAATAAACAAGCAATTAGTGCTGTAAAAACCTCAAAAAAAAAAATAAAAATGTAATTTTCTTGTCTGAATCATAATTATCCTTTGGACCGATTCTAAGCTCTTGATCTCTGCATCGCATCCAGAGACACCATGGGTATTCTATCTGCCAGCCAGTCGCTCACCTGGACCTCCATCTAGTAAAGTTAAAGAAACCTGAAGTTTGAAATTTTTCTGGTAAAATGCAGGGAAGATTATACTTGGGCTTAAAAAGTTCTGCAAGGCATTATAAATAAAAAAAGAGTTTGTTCTTAATGCAATGAGACCAGAGTAAGCTCCACTAAACGCTCCTTTCAGCATCTATCAGCAGAGGTGTTGAAACAAGGGTTTAAATCTCTGAACTCGCCGTGGTTTTTTTTTTTCTTAACATTTATCTTCAGACAAACTGATTATTCTTGCTTTGAGTTCAGGGTCTTATTTATCATTAATGAGCTTCTTATTAGTTAATACCAGCCAGTCGAAGCAGCAGAGGTTTGGGGAAAGGTTAAGTAAGCACTGCGAGGGCTTCTAATGAGGGTAAAAAGTTGTTTTGAGATAGAGCTGCGCTGTAGCTGGTCTCTGCCCTGCTGGATGTATCTTAAATTTATTTTTTTCTATAAACAGAGATAAGCTCCCAGCTTGGTTGCAGGTGTGATGTCTCCTCACGTGTGACAATAATTTTCCTGTGTTTCTGTCCTTAAAGTGTGAGTGACAGTTCAGCCCACACATTGTTCCTTCAGTTGGATTTGTGTGCAAAACAGCGTGTGCACACCTGCCGGGTTTGTTTGTGAGCGAGTTTTGCTGCAGCAAAATGGAAAGCCTGGAGCGAAGCACCAAGCTGCCCATCACTGCACAGCACAACAGTCCAAACCTCTGGAGACCCCAAGCTGGGCTGCATTATCCAGCGCATGAGCGCACACACATCAAGAGGTTGCAACTAGGGGCCCATTACCAGCCTGCAAAACCCTAGGGCAGCAGTGAGACTACAGAAAATACATGCAGCAATTCTGTCAGGGCTACACTTTCTCAACTTTAGGAGCAGAAACAGTGTTTGGTCAAATGTTTTTTTAATTTTTTTCAACAAAAAAGTAACAAGTTTATATTACTTATGAGTGTTATATTAAATCTATAAATTCTTATCAAGCTTGACCCAGCTGAGATGAGGTTTCTCCACCTGTGCATGTCAAATGGTTCCCTTTCTTTGTGCATGCCCTTTGGAGCATGAACTGCACTGATCAAGTTCATAGTACACTTAATCCAATTACCTTTTAGGAGACGCACTAGCAGCACAGTGTAATTGCGCAGAAACGCATTTTGAAGAATGCTCAGAGATGGGCAGCATTCTGTGTTTTTTCATAACTGAGCACCGGAACCATTAAAGGAATATAACAGCCTTGTATTCTCTGGGAAAAAACTACCAGATAAAGTACAGTCATTATAACTACGTAGGCAGAAGTAAAATGTTTTCAAATGTACTGAGTAGCCTATGATTATTTTCATATGTGGAAAAAGCACCTCCAAATTACACACATAATTTGTTAATGCTCCCTCAATAATGAAGTAACTTGATAGAATTATTAATTCAGTTCATTACATTGTTAAGCCTTTTAGTTTATTTAGTATTAACCAAGGCAGTTAAGCTATGCTTAAATTATGAAAATGAAGGTAGTTTTTTTTTTTTTTTTCTAATTGGAGTTCTGTGGATTTTTAAATAGCAGTTGGCGTATTACCCGCAGTAGCAAGTGAAAGAGCGGCAGAAGGAGCAGTTTTTGAGGTAATAAGAATTCCCATTTGCAGTTTGCCACAAACCAAGCAGAGGACATGGCAGATTTTTACAATACATACTGGAGGTGCACACCGGAAGTTGGTTATTCAGATAAATTATTATTTTTTTGTTAAATTATTTCGATTTAAAACATAAGGCAATTCAAAGTTTGAATTTATACTCTGATTTTAAGCTATTTAAGGGGCAACAGTCGTGTAGGATGTAGGAGTTTGTTCTAAAATAGAGGGGTTGACGATTCAAGCCCGAGGTACGTCTTTCAGTGTCGTTCTGTCCTGGGGCAAGACACTTCACCTGCATTGTCTACTGGTGGTGGTCAGAGGGCCTGGTGGCGCCAGTGTACGGCTGCCTCGCTTCTGTCAGTGAGCCCATCAGTGTGTGAATGCGTGCGTGAATGACTGAATGTAGTGTAAATCTCTTTGGTCAAGTCCTCTGACTTGAAAAAGTGCTATATAAGTACAGGCCATTCACCATTTTTTACTTAAATGATCCCTGACTGCTGTTTGTGTAGATGCTTAAACATCTTTCTTTCTTTTTTCTTGATCGCCTGTATTTTTGCCAATAAAGCTCCGTTAAATGTGGAAAAAAAAGATGATCACACTGGGAGTGAAGTGGGAAATATAAACCTAAATAAGGTCCATGAATTTTATACATAACCTAATGTATAGCCACTACTGAGGGCTACCTATAATCCTTACAAAGCTGGATGAGAAACCTGCGGCCAGTGGATATATGATTTCATCAAATCCCCATTTGAACAACTTTCGGTTGCATTTCCTGCATTGATTAAAAAGTAGGGACACCCTCCCCCAATACTATGATAGCACTGTATTATGAAGATTTATCTAAAGACTGGTGTATGCTTGATGCTTCTGCAAGGTCTGTGTGGCCAAATTATGTGACTTTAGAATCCCTCCGTACGGCATCTGCACAGCCTTTCCACCAAGCACCCCTAGGCAAATTTGTCTCTACATGAATAGTTCTGACGGAAAAACATGGTGGCCAACTGAACAGTGAATGCATGCTGCAAAAGATGTGTTCCTCGCATTTCATTTGCCCACCAAACATATGTGGATAAATTATAACCTAGTCTTACATCGACAGGAACACTGGTAGTTGCTAGGACATTGGTGCTCAGTTAGGCTGAGCATGGGGGCAAAACTGTCCAAAGCTGCAGTCGGCTCAGCGCTCCTACTTCCAGTAGGACAGCAGGAGAAAATAGCCAGACCTGCAACAAAATGCTTGGATTTAAGAGTATTTAGTATTGGCAAGTAAAAGTCCTCAGTCCATTTGAGAATACATGGCAAGACCTAAAAATGTGATAATCAGCCAGTCTGACTAAGCAAAAAATGAGCTACAATTGTAGTCTGTAAATGCAAAAAACAATTAAAAAACATTTAGCAATCTCATAGAATGCATTATCATATTAGTTGAGATCTTGTCTTTAGACAGAAGTGGCATCTTGTGCAACTCAAAAGTGCCATTATGTACAAGAGGGGCTAACTATTTAACTGCTAAGGCAGGTTTTAGTCTGAGATCCTCTAAATCAGAGGTCACGGATTAAGGGACCGCGGTCCTGATCCGGATCCATAGCCTGATTTAAAACATGTATAAATTACCACATGATGTCCGACGGCAGTGTCTATGGGCCACTTCTCCTGTTTGTACGGTAAAGCCCTCCGGGACCAGGCTGCACGTGATACATATTAGCCAATGAGCTGTGTCAGTCAGAGCTGTTGTTACTTGCTTATTTTATACACAGCAGGCAAAGCTGTGGCAAGCCGGGCGATGGGCAATGATGATGAGAAAATGTGAAAGAAAGTGTAGACTGCTGGAAGAAGCGTGGTGAACTGGTGACAGAAAAGTGCAATGGGTGCTCAGAGATGACCCTGCACATTTTGAGTATGTTTGGCTCAACCTCCTGCTGTGGAGCAGGTTTCTAAACCATGAACAAAATTAAAAAATAAATATCGATACAGGCTCATAATGAGCACCTTGATATGTGCTTGAGAATGGCTTTGTCTCCAATCAGACTCAGGTTTAAAACCTTGCAGGTCAGCCTTAAGCCCACTGCTCTCATTAAGCCAAAAAAAGAAAGAAAAAACAAATGGTCAGTTCAGGTGTTTTAAAAAATATGTGAATCCGGAAATTGTCTATATACCAAACTGAAAGATTGTTGTTCTCTACTTTAAAAAACACTTTAGATTTTAAAATGGAAAAATGTTTCCAGACCTTTACTGGTTGTTGATTTTCTTTATTCAGGCTCTGATTTTGAATTGGTTACCACTGTTCTAGGTGCTCTGCTAGTAGGTCGATGACTTGAGGCAACGGTTGTGATTCATAAGCATCTAGGAATGAAATTTAAATGGCTTTGATTCAGTTTATATGAGGCTATTACATTGAGTTTACTGCTGTATATACAAAGTTTCTGCTTTAAAATACTCTGGGACAACATTTTGTTGTGAATTTGTGTTTTGTAGACATAAGGAAATATACAATACCAAACAGTCATTAAAAAGAAAACATATTAATCTATCTTCAAATCAATCAAACAGAACAGCAATGTTCAGAGCATTATGTTTCAGGAATAAGATTTAAGTTGTTTGCAAAAGAAAACTTGATTCTAAAGAGGAAAGAAACAAACTCATGAATAAATCAACAGCGAGTTCACCTTACAATAGAAGGTCATAGATTTTATTTTTACAAAGAGCTCCTTTTCTTCCAATCCAGCTTCACTGATGCATATTGAACAAAGATGAACAACCTTCACTGGAAGGCAGTTTATGCATCATATTTTTAGACTCATAAAAAAAGGGAGAAAAAAAACTTTTTCTATGTTCTCATGATGGCTAATACACTGTTACTGGTAAAAAAGCCACCATATTTAACAGCAATAGACTGTGTTTGGATGATTTGCCAAATATCCTGATGAATTAGGTATGTTTGTTATTAGATAAGATAGGAATAAAGCAGTATAGAAATGTATTTATTTATATAATTCCCAAACACATAGGGGGGATAAAGATACTAAATGAGCATTTCACATTTTTAGCTGTTAATGCAGTCTGAAAATAGCTTTAAATAAACAGTTTTGTGAGTCACAGCTGTGTATAGGGATTGATTTTATGTAAACCTACAGTCCATGCAGGAATTGATATGCTATCCATTGTTCTCATTTCACAGACCACCATGCCACCCTTCACTCCTTCTCCCACTGAGTGCCAGTCCACCAGCTTGGTCTCCAACTCCCCAGTGCTATCTGGCAGCTACAGCAGCGGCATCTCCTCCCTGAGCCGCTGCAGTGTGTCGGAGGCCTCCGGCACTGAGCTGCCCGCCGGCGACCACCCACCCCACCCTTTGCCACCGCCAACTCCCCTTCCAAATTCCATCTCCAGCAGCTCAGACGAGCCCATCCGCAGAGAGAATAAGACCCCTCCTCCCTACAGCGTGTATGAGAGAAACAACCCCCGGCGCCCCGTGCCGCTTCCTCACAGCCTCTCCATCCCACCGCAGACAGACCCCCCAGCCCTGCCGCCCAAACCTCACCAGCTCCGAACAGGCAGCATGAAGCTGGACGGGAATGCCGATCCTCGGGTGCCCAGACCAAGACCTCTTCCCAGGAAGGTGTCCCAACTATAGGTGTCTGTTTTTGGTAAAATAATACAACACACTGGCGTATTTTGCACTTTTCTACTAGGCACTCACTTTTTATGCGATTCACAGTTTGGCACTCCAGAAGCTCCAACTACAGAGGCAGACTTACCGTCTAACAGTCAGTCGGAAACTAACAAGACCGTAAAACTACCAGATAGAGTTTGGCTCTGCATTTACAAGAGGCTTTGACATTGACTTTAACCAGTCAGTCATAATATATGTTTACCCAAACATTCTAGAAATAAAACACAATTTTGATAGAAATAATTTCAGATGTATGTATATTGGTATAAATGAGTTTTTTTTGCCTTAAGTATTGGAAACGGAGTGTTTATCTGTGAGTCTTGCACGTTTTTTTTTTATTATTTGTTAATTTCTTTTTAAATAACTCAGTATATTTGTATACTGTTTGGCGAAAAAGAAAAAAGGTGCTAGAGGCCTCAAATATGCATTTCACTGAAGTGTAGAAGACAAGGGTGTGTTCTCATTGTTACATCCTCAGAAGTGAGGGTATAGATACTTTTTAAAGGAGCTTTTACTTTAACTGATTTCATTTTAGAGCTGTTTTTAAAAAATGCATTTGTGTTTTATGTTTCTTGCAATAGTTGGAACAAAAAGGGGGGCCAGTTTGAGATCGTCAGGATTTCGATTAAATTTAATACCACTGTTTTAGGGTGTTGCCATATTTTCAAAATTTGTATTTAGGGAATAAATAGAAAACTGTTGACTTGTCAGTTAACTGCAGGAACAGTATTGGCAAAAATTGTTTGAAACTCTAAGCCTTAATGATCTTAGGAGGCCATGATAGTGGTAACCAGCCCTTGCCTAGTTGTGACCAATTGGGTCATTTTTCTATAATATTGCAAAACATCTAATAAAGACAAACGTAACAAATTTTAGGCTTCTTTAACATCTCATCTTAAGTTTCTACACGTCCCTTTACTAACCAACACACTGAGCTTCTTTCTTTGAATTCAGTTAAGTCATGAAGCTTGACCAATGCATGCACTTCTATATGCTGCTCTAAAAAATAAAGGGAACACGTAAACAACACAACATAGCTTCAATTAAATCAAACTTCTGTGAAATACAACTGTCGACTTAGAAAGCAACCCTGATTGACAATCAATTTCACATGTTGCTGTGCAAATGGAATAGAAAACAGGTGGCGGCAGCAGGGTCACTACCTCTGACTTTGTGCCAGGCGGAACAGGAGGAGCACTGCCAGAGCCCTGCAAAATGACCTCCATCAGGCCACAAATGTGAATGTGTCTGAATAAACTATTAGAAACCGACTACATGAAGTTGGTATGAGGGCCCAAAAGCCACAGGAGGTTGTGCTCATATGCCCACACTGTGCAGGACACCGTGGCATTTGCCAGAGAACACCGAGATTGACAAATTCACCACTGGCGCCCTCTACTTTTCACAGATGAAAGCAGGTTCACAGTGACCACACTGAAGACACCGTGGATAGCAATCTGCTGCTTGTACCATCTTTTAGCATGACTTGATAGGCAATGGGTCAGTTATGGTGTGGAGGGTCACACAGTCCTCCCTGTGATCGCCAGAGGTAGCATTACTGCCATTGAAAACAGGGGTGATATCCTCAAAGCCCTTGTAAAACCACATGCTGGTGCAGTTGGCCTTGGGTTCCTCCTAATGCAGAAGAATGCTAGAACTCCTGTGGATGGAGTGAGTCATAGCTCCTGCAAGATGAAGGAATTCCCCAGACCTAAATCCGATTGAGCCCACCCGGGAACATCTTGTCTTGATCCATCTGCCAATGACATGTTGCACAGCAGACTGTCCAGGAGTTGATGCTTTAGTCAAGGTCTGGGACAAGACCCCAAAAGGCGGGCATACACTGTACAATATTGTCAATCTTTGTACTCAGCTATAGCCCCATTTAAACTACCCTCTAAAAACTGATCTGTACCAAGTTCAGACCGAACTTGGATTAGTTAACCGTGCCAAGCTTGGTTCCTTGTGATCGTTTACACATCATGCTAGCAAAGTTCCTTGCCTCCTAGTGGCGTTCCATGGTACTAATACTCTCTAGAGGTAAACAAGCAAATCAACATGAAAGCACCCGTAACATTCAGGAAGTTTATTATAATTGTGATATTTCCTTGTTTGCAGAGAGAAGGTGATGAAGTCAGCCTTTGGTGAATTTACTTGAGAGTCAGAGCTTTTGGGAAGTGGATACGTCAAGCAACAGTCTAATCAGGGCTTACAGACCCAGGAAACAATGACAGACGTTGACGTTGAGGTTCATCACCCTGCTAGGCACAATCATCACTGGAAATCGTGTGGCACGGTAGCTAGAACTGAACCGCGCCAAGCCCTACTGTTAAACTAGTACCAGTTTAGCGTGGTTCAGTTGTGTCTGACACGGTTAGTTTCAGTTTTATGTTGCATTTAAATTCAACAGTTATCTCTGTTACCATGCTTGGACTGATCTCAGCACAGTTTAAAAAGGGTAGTGTAAATGGGGCTCAATTCTCAAACAGTACGACGAAACTGCAGAGTTGAAAACATCACAGCTCACGATATATGCTCTTAAGCTGTATGGCCCAATGCTTTAATGCGATCTAACTGCTCACTCTATGAGTCCAAAGTGCACACGTCGAACTTGGCACTGAGAGATGCTGCTGATCAGATGCATCCATCTGGGAGAAGAGAACTTCCCCTGTTTGCACATGCGCGAGATTCAGATAGATTGGTACGTAGACGCTCATAGCTCTGCTTAAACGGTAGGATTTGTTCACGAACACCTTTTTGGTGTTGTGTGTGACTTCAAATACAGGCCTCCATTGGTTAATACATTTGATTTACTGTACATTGAGGATTTTTGTGCAACTCTGTTGTCAGCACATTCAGCTTTGTACAGAACACAGTTTTCAGTAAGAATATTTCTTTCATTTGGATTTAGCATGTGTTATACATGAGTGTTCCCTTAATTTTTTTGAGCATTGTAGTTTGGTGACAGAAGTTTGATACCATTTATGTGAACACACCCTCTACTTTCTGGGTGATATGTACATGATAACACATCTTTGGGTGTGGAGGGGCTTTAGTAGTTATTGTGCCAAAGGAAACTGAAAAAAATCCTATAATTTTTATTTCTTACCTCAAATCTTTCTGCAAACATCTCAGAAACGCCTGAAAATGACATTTTTAAATACGTCTTCTTAAAGATTCCAGTTGAGCCCTGCTTTGCCCTAATCAGACAAGCACAAAAAAGATTTTATGAAATGTAATGGAGCAAACAATATATGGAAGTTAGAAGAGGGAGTTTTGCAATCAACAGTGACCTTAAAAAATAAATAAACGGATTGATGTGCGGGAAGAATATCTTCAAACAAATCAAAGTCAAATATTTGTACAGTTGAGATTTGCTTTCTGTTTAATTAAAAACATGAACGTGAGTAGACTGCATGATGGGTAGTTGCTCTGCTCTGTTCAGCCACGTCACATTACATTGCTGCTGTGGATAGATGTCCGGTGGCAGGCACATTTCACTCTGTTTTGTAAGTTAGAGGGAATTTCAGCATAAATATTCAGCAAATTAACTTTGAGATGTGGGAGGGATGGTAGCTTTTAGCGTTGTTTGTATTTCAATTTTTTTTTCTATTATGTTGTGAATTTTTTGGAGATTAAATATTCACATTAATTAGTACTTGACATGTAAATTATGAAGAGATCAATGTAAGTATGCCAGAAATGAAATTTGTGTATTACAATTAATGTAAATACTGTGTTTTTAACAAGATGTAGCTATAACAATTTACAGCTTTGAATGTAATGTTGAAGCAGCAAATTATTATAAATGTTCAAACTTTTATTGTTTTGTGACTGTAGAGAAACTGAGGTCATGCAAAATGACTCCTAACTCATTTACAAGTTCATTAAACTGCCCAATGGAATAAAATTGGAGTCAATGAAAGATGTTATATATCCTGAGTTGTCTTTATGGGGTGGGTTAAGGAGGGGAGTTGATGTTGATTAAAGCAATACAAAAAAAGGGGATTTTTATTAGATTTTGTTATGAAGAAAAGTGATCTGATTATTTCTGTCTTGCTAACGGGAAAAAAACGAATGAACAATTACTTGATGAGCATCAGTAGAGATAATAAAAATGAAAGATGGGAGGCTAAAAAAAGTCAAAAACTGGTCATTCTTTATCGAAAGCTAAATATATGTGAAATTATTTTATTTTTTTCAGCAACCAAATTAAGTTATAAAATCTATTGAAATGTTATAACAAGCAAGTATGTCTCATTGGGAAAAGTATTCAAAGACATTTGCTATAAGAGTAGGATAACAATGAAATAGTAATATTACAAATCACAACTGAGGTTGGTTAGGTTGTTTAAAGGAGATGTGATCATAGGGATATAGAAAACTACTCTTACTGTAGTATTTAAAGTTATAAATAAGACTGAGCAGCTCTTGAAAATAGGAAAAAACAAAAAGTTTGATCTAAATACATCAGATGTGTTCATTTTAAGTTAGAAAATGGTTCCAAGAAAAAAGCCTTTTAATAAAACGTGTCTAAATTTATCACCAAAACAATTATAAAAAAATTTTTGTATAGTTCAAACTGTTATACAACCAACATTTATCTTGTCACCAAACACGGTGAGCATGGTGACAAGGGAAATCAAAATAAATCTCTAAAGCTCCCGATTACATAACTTTTTTATGGTAATGTTTTATAAATTATGCGACAACAAATGAAGATTAAATCCTTTTTTACAGCTTTATCTTTACCAGGGGTTTCAATAAAGTGGAGGAGATTATTTTTTATTCTCTTGTTAAGGCAAAACACGTTTTTATTATGGGCCAGTGCATTTTAAGTTATCTCTTGGTGATATAACATATATGTTTTGATTTCCTAAAAGGAGGAGTCTCTCTAAGATATATATTTCACTGAATTTACCATTTTATGCTATAATAGGATCTCTTATCTATATTCTGAGATATTTTAATCAATCTGGTATGTTTAGGTACTTGTTCTGTGCCAAAAAAACATTGGATTATGTTATTAGCACCTGAATGTGCTAATTTGATAGTTCAGAGGCTCAGTTAAAAGTTTTTTTTGTTGTTGTTGCATAGTCAGGGCTTCAATCAACTAAAGAGTGAACTAAACTATTTTTAGAGCTAGTTTCTTCCACATCCTTAACATAGAAAATATGATTCTTCTGATCTGTCCTTCATAACCTTATCAGTTTATTGTGTTGCAGGTGATCAAACTGAAGCTCTGCTGCCCAGCACTATATCGTGCAGAGATTCACCCCCATGGTCTGTGATCATCTCCATATAGTCAACTGCCAATGTGTATATTGTCCTTAAAAATGTGAAATCATTTAAGTGCTTTGGGTAAAAAAAAGAAAAAAAGAAAAGGTGTTAACTTCTAACACATTTAAAGGAGCAAATATGCTTCTGTAAGGGTGCTTGTTAAGATAGACTGGAGGAAGGGAGCCATGCCGCTATGCTCACAGCATTCAGAGTGAAGTTGAACATCATTATGAGTAGGACACCATTAAAAATACATGGGAGATTTGCTGTCAATCTGACAGAAATACAGAGTATGGGTGACATATATTTATTCCTTTTCTCAGTGAAGTCTGAGGTTTGAGAAACAGAGGCTGAGCTGCTCGCTAGTAACAACCATAAATATGAAAAGGAGTGAAAAGAAGAAGAGAGGAACAAGGAAGTCTGACTAACATGATGGAGAGCCAAGGTGGCCAGGGATATAAGGGAGATGAAGCCAACATACAGATCCTAAACAGTGAAATGGAAATAAGTGTCATAGCCAACCTCCAGCTGACCTGGGTCTCATGATATGTTGATTATGACTGCAAACTGTTACAAATGATATAATGATGAATCTGTCAAGCAGTGCACAGAATAGACACCACTTCAACCAAAATGCCATTTTTATTAATTGTACAAAATAAATACAACTAATAGGCAGTTTTAGGTGTAAGAATCCTCTAAAACTTTTCAGTTTTATTATCATTTATATTTCAATGTACTCAATTTCAGAAATTAAAAACACAGATTTGAATCAATCAAATGCTTTATCAAAAATATAAAGGATATAAACAACCAAACCGAATTTGATAGAATAATTTTAGAAATCACATTGTCTTTTAAAGATATTTTACAGCTTGTAAAAAGCTGCTATCTAAAAGTAGTATTTTAATAAATGTATCATATAATTTTAATAGGAAGAAAATTTTTATTTTTTGTTTTAACTTTGTTGTTTTATTAAATGTGTTATAGAATTCTGATTGACTCATTCAAAATATTGAGGATTGTCGACCAGGGAAAAGATACGTAGCACTGATAACCAAGGCATTTTCCTAATGGAAACAAAAGTGGTCTAATATGTCTTGTATGTTCAATGCTGTGCAAACAATTTAGATTTTTTTTTTTCATATCTGACTTTGTTAAACAAACAGTACTTAATCTGGGGCCTTTCCAAGATGGTATAGGTGGATATTGACAATATATGCATATGTGGTTTTGCCATGCCACAAAAAATCTCACCATTGTCAGGCTCAGAACAAAAGGACCCAGATTTCAAGGCAGAGAGACAGTTAGGTTTCACAAAATGTTTATTTAAGACAGAACTGTAGTGAACAGCTAGGGCGTCTAAGGCAGAAACCTGTGGTCTTAAAGTTCAGTCCATGCCCAGAGGATGAGGTTGGTTCCAGACAGTCGGCTTCCAACAGGACAGGGCAGGCACACCCAGAGAGTCCCAGACGCTGGTGTCTCGGAGGTCAGACAACAGGCAGGAGATTAGAACCGAGCAGATAAAGGAAGGAAGGCTAATCCAGAGGGCAAAGCCAAAACCGGTGTCGAAGAGGTGCTCGGGAGTCAGAGCCAGGTGATCAGAGGTCCGATGAGGTACCGAAGGAGAAACCAGAATGGTGTCGGGAATTAGTTACAGGTTTGGTACACAGGCAGAAATCCAGCAGTAGTCTGAGGACCGGTCAGGCAAACAGATCAGAACAGGGACAAGCAGGCTCATAGGTTCAGGGGAAGAACAGGCCTTGATCAGGCAATCAGAAACAGTCGGGTACTCTAGTGAACTCTCACCAAAGGCTCGAATAATCTGGCCCTGACGACTGGTTGAAGGCTTGTTAATCAGAGGCTGAAGAGGGTGGATCAGATGAGCAGAAATTAGAACTTGCAGAGATAGACAGATGAATGGAATGAGTAATCGGAACAGCCATCAGCAGCAAGATCATAACACCATCCCATACACATACTGCACAAAATAATCTTTTACACCAATAAATAAATTGGCACCAACTTCATCCTGAAGCTAATTCAAACACTACTTTTAAGTTTAATCTTATTGTCCAGTTACATGGTTTAATTATTTGTTGTGGCTCATGCTTCTTGGCTTGAATATCAAGCACTTTTTTGTAGAACATGCAATGTGCCCCTATCTTAAAGCAGGCTATTCATTTCTTATGGAGACAAGAGTTCAGCCAATACCACTCACAGCCCCTGCTAACTTTACAATGCTTGTCCCCAAATGGGAAGCTGACATGTAAATTCTAACTTCAACAACCTTTATGCAACCTTACAAACCCACTGGGATCTTTACAGTGCACAAAATCCAGTTAGGAACCTACATTATGCTTAGACTCTGTACCAGAAAGCAATTTCACAAGCAAACAGCAGAAAGCCTCAAAGCCCTTCGTATATTAAAAAGCTGTTTGTATAGGTTAAACAGGATGTCTTAACACACTGCACAACAACCGCACATTAGTCTTTTTTTCATTTCAAGACTTTTTTAACATACCAGAGAATGTAGGTATTAAAAAAAATCCTTTAAGATTCAGAAGTGTAATTGGTTCTGTTCAATAAACACGAGAATCAATAGCACAGAACTATGTTGTTAAGTCTGACAGTTAAAAATCTCCTTTCGGTTCATGTGGTTTAAAGGCTGTAACAGAGTTAGTGGTGTGTGCTAACGGAAGACACGTTTACACAAGGGAGCAAGTTCCGTGTTTATCACAAAGCATCTAATTATCCCAGCACCGGCTCCTGCTGTATAATCAGCACAACAATTGTATGTTGATGGAACAGTGCTGCTTGACCGGGAGACCTTGAACAATTGCAAATTTCTCTCCTGACTGTAAACACTAGTTATATGTGTGTGTGTGTTAGGTAAAGATGTGCACACTTCACCTGTCAGCACTTATCATTATTGTTGGTGGTTGGCTTTAATTTGACAGCAATTATTATGTCAGGAATGAATTCCTTGCTAATCGCCGAGTCTCCTTGCAGCTTGTTCGACAGTGTCCGGGCCGAGGCGTTCTGCTACCATTGAGCACGTCTGTGAGAATTGCTGGTGAGCAAAGAGGTGCTTTGGTTTAAAGTGCCAGCGAATAAGAGTACTTCTGGGTAAAAATGAGGAAGTTAAACAGAAATCTGACTACAGAGGATGAAATTGTGATTTTCAACAGATCACTTTCTTACATGAGGCACTGTTCAAATTCCATAACCCTAATTCTTCATCTGTGGCATCTGCATATTGTCTTTCATGGATATAGGTAATATTTTACATTACTAACAATTTTTTATACTTACAAAAGATGGTGTCTTTTGCAGATCACCTTTCTTAGTCCACCTGTATGTAATTATATCTTTTGCAGTTTTGTTAAGTATGCAATTTTTGGTACAACCGAAAAATAAATGTCCATCCATCCATCCATCTATTTTCTTCCGCTTTATCTGGGGCCGGGTCATGGAGGCAGCAATCTAAGCAAAGATGCCCAGACTTCCCGACACCAGGTCAGCTCAGAGACATAGTACCTCCAGCATGTCCTTCCACGAGACCTCCTCCCAATAGGAACACCTGCCGAGGGAGACGACCAGGAGGCATCTGGAACAGATGCCCGAGCCACCTCAACTGGGTCC